CACCTGTCAGAGCCTCACAGGGTTTACTGATGCTTCTTCACAGTGTGCCTGTGTTGCATCTTTGATGATGTTAAACTCCTCCTCTTCCTCCTCCTCAGGTCCTTTCAGGCCTCCGTACTCTTCCTCCTCGTCTCTCAGCAGATCAGGGCTTTCAGCTCGGGGGTCGCTCCACTCCTCCTCCTCCTCCTCCTCCTCCTCCTCCTCCTCTTCCTCTTCCTCCTCCTCCTCCCATCAGTCTCTCCCCAACCAGAGGAGTCAGGTGGGAGCTGTCTCCCCCGCTCATCCCCACACTGCTCGAACCTCCGCACCCCCAACGTCTGCCTTAAAGCTCGCCACTGTCGCCGCCAACCTCGACCGAGTGCCCAAAGTCTCCACTGCCAGGTAAATGCCACCTACACAAACCTGTGGAATAAAACATTGCTTACACACATGTCCAGGTAAATGCTACCAACGTACATCTGTTCAGATATAGACCACCTACATACACCTGTCCATGTAAACACTACCCACATACACCTGTCTAGGGATGGGCAGCACAAGCAAAAACATTATTCGAAAATCGTGGCTATTATTCGACAATTACCTATTCGATTTTTCGAATAACACTACAATAACAATAATAAAACGACTATTCGAAATTCAAAAATCATGACCCATCCCTACACCTGTCCATTTAAACACCGCCTACATACACCTGTGCGGGTAAACGCCACCCACATACACCTGTCCATGTAAACACCGCCTACATACACCTGTGCGGGTAAACGCCACCCACATACACCTGTCCATGTAAACACCGCCTACATACACCTGTGCAGGTAAACGCCACCTACATATACCTGTCTGGGTAAACACCACCTACATACACCTGTCCATGTAAACACCACCTACACACACCTGTCCAGGTAAACACCACCCACATACACCTGTCCATGTAAACATCACCCACATACGCACTTGTCCATGTAAACACCACCCACATACACCTGTCCACGTAAACACCACCCACATACACCTGTCCACGTAAACACCACCCACATACACCTGTCCATGTAAACATCACCCACATATGCACCTGTCCACGTAAACATCACCCACATACGCACTTGTCCACGTAAACACCACCCACATACACCTGTCCACGTAAACACCACCCACATACACCTGTCCACGTAAACACCACCCACATACACCTGTCCACGTAAACACCACCCACATACACCTGTCCACGTAAACACCACCCACATACACCTGTCCACGTAAACACCACCCACATACACCTGTCCACGTAAACACCACCCACATACACCTGTCCACGTAAACACCACCCACATACACCTGTCCACGTAAACACCACCCACATACACCTGTCCACGTAAACACCACCCACATACACCTGTCCACGTAAACACCACCCACATACACCTGTCCACGTAAACACCACCCACATACACCTGTCCACGTAAACACCACCCACATACACCTGTCCACGTAAACACCACCCACATACACCTGTCCACGTAAACACCACCCACATACACCTGTCCACGTAAACACCACCCACATACACCTGTCCACGTAAACACCACCCACATACACCTGTCCACGTAAACACCACCCACATACACCTGTCCACGTAAACACCACCCACATACACCTGTCCACGTAAACACCACCCACATACACCTGTCCACGTAAACACCACCCACATACACCTGTCCACGTAAACACCACCCACATACACCTGTCCATGTAAACACCACCCACATACACCTGTCCACGTAAACACCACCCACATACACCTGTCCATGTAAACATCACCCACATACACCTGTCCACGTAAACACCACCCACATACACCTGTCCATGTAAACATCACCCACATACACCTGTCCACGTAAACACCACCCACATACACCTGTCCATGTAAACATCACCCACATACACCTGTCCACGTAAACATCACCCACATACACCTGTCCACGTAAACATCACCCACATACACCTATCCACGTAAACATCACCCACATACACCTGTCCATGTAAACATCACCCACATACACTTGTACACCTGTTGTTCTATCAACCAACATGGACAGCAGCATGTTACTGTGGATAAGGATTATGTTCAGGACCAGGATCAGGATTAAGGTTAGGATCAGTATCAGAATTAGGACCATGATTTGGATCAGGATTAGGATCAGTATCAGATTTAGGATCAGGAAAAAGATAAGGATCAGAATTAGAATCAGGATCAGGAGGATCAGGATCAGTGAAACTTTGACAACAGAGTTTAAGTAAAACATCCTGATTTATTTTATCTTTGATCGGAAATACCTAAACGATCTCTGCTGGCAAACTGGAGGAAGTGATGTCATGAGTGATGTCATCGCTGATGTATAACTCTGGTTATTTTCCTGACAGAGATTCTCACGAGTCAGAGAGACTTCTGAATGGATTGTCGGAGACGACGCTGCCAATGGAGGTCACATAACATCATATCCCATCATCCCCTGTTCCTCCTCCCGTCACCTCCTCCTCCACAGTGTCTGACCGGTGAATGTGACACGCCGTGACCTCCAGAAGAAGAAGAAGAATCAGAACATTTTAGTGTGGACGATGATATTATTATTATTATTGTTATTATAATTATTATTATTACTGTTGTACAGTTTGTAAATGTATTTTGATGTAAAATAGTTTTTGTTTCATCAGTTTAGTTTCTGAATCAGATTATCATCATGTGACTGCAGAATCAACTCTGACTGGTTCACAACAAATCCTGAATCTTCGCTCTGATTGGACCGTGATGAGTCTGTATCTTCGCTCTGATTGGTTATTTATTTGTAATGTTTACATTTTGTATTTCGTTAAAGATCATTTTCCAAAGATGGACTTAATTTGACAGATGTAAGGATGTTTCTGTGACGTCATGATTTAGTTCATATTTTTTAAATGTTTGTTAAAGAATCTCTCCATGGCCTTCTGATCATTTAAACCCACATTGAAATAAAGATATGCATCCTGTAAAAACAGACGCGGATCTGCAGCTGGAACACAAAAGTTTTTTATATTTTTAAACTTGTCGGAGGTGAAGTCGGACAGACGCTGATCAGATGTGTGTGAACTGAAGCTCTGACAGGTTTCACTGTTTCTATTTTGTCCGTCAGTATGAATCATGAAGTGTGTGTGTCGGCTGGTTCACACACTCTGTTCGCTCTGTTTGTGTTTCAGATATAAAATGCTGAGAAATAAAAATGCATCACACTGATGGCTCTTAAACATTGTGGTTTATTTCAGTTTGTAAATAAAAACAATAAATGCTTCAGATTTTTAACCTTTTTTTTTACTAAAAATCCTGTTTGTACAATCAGTGTGTTTAAATACGAGGATGAGGAGTTGTACTTAGATATTTCCATACTTGTCTGCTGCATCTCAGCTTCAGTTATTTTATATTAATAATTAATACATTTGTGTAAATTTTCAGTGCAGTGAAAGTACATTTTCACGCAGAAATGTGCTGCGTTAGAAGTAGATAACACTTTTTCATTTATTTTTTTGTTTAGTCCAGTTGAAGGTGAGGGTTACCACCACTGATGATGTTAAATAATTTAAACATTTTACATTATTTAAATATATAAAAATGTATCATTTTAAATTATTTATATATATGTATAAATAATGTATCTTTCACTTAGATTGATATATACACTCACCTGCCACTTTATTAGGTACACCTGTTTTACTGCTCATTAATGCCAATATCTAAAAAGCCAATCATATGGCAGCAACTCAACACATTTAGTCATGTAGACATGGTGAAGACGAGCTGCTGATGTTCAAACGGAGCATCAGAATGATGAAGAAAGGTGATTTAAGACGGGCTGGTCTGAGTATTTACTGGGATTTTCAGCACAACCATCTCTAGGGTTTACAGAGGATGGTCCCAAAAAGAGAAAATATCCAGTGAGCTAAAATGCCTTGTTGATGCCAGAGGTCAGAGGAGAATGGCCAGACTGGTTCAAGATGATAGAAAGGCAACAGGAAGTCAAATAAGCACTGGTTCCAACCAAGGTCTGCAGAAGACCATCTCTGAAGCAACAACACCTTGTCCAACCTTGAAGCAGATGGGCTACAGCAGCAGAAGACCACACCAGGTGCCACTCCTGTCAGCTAACAACAGGAAACTGAGGCTACAATTCACACGGGTTTTCTCACCAAAACTGGACAATAGAAGATTGGAAAAACCACATTCAGATGGAAGCATGGATCCATCCTGCCTTGTATCAACGCTTCAGGCTGCTGCTGGTGGTGTAATGGTGTGGGGGAGATTTTCTTAGTACCAACTGAGCATGGTTTAAACACCACAGCCTACCTGAGTATTGTTGCTGAGCGTGTCCATCCCTTTATGACCACAGTGTACCCATCTTCTGATGGCTACTTCCAGCAGGATAACGCACCATGTCACAAAGCTCACATCATCTCAAACATGACAATGAGTTCACTGTACTCCAATGGCCTCCACAGTCACCAGATCTCAGTCCAATAGAGCACCTTTGGGATGTGCTGGAACGGGAGATTCTGTGTGATGTCATCATGTCAATATGGACCAAAATCTCTGAGGAATGTTTCCAGCACCTTGTTGAGTCTATGACATGTTACTAGCAGGGTGTACCTAATAAAGTGGCCGGTCAGTGTATATGCATATATATGGAATTAATCATTATAACTGTTATAAAATATGTAATTATTTGAACATATAGATGCAGATAACATTAAAAACATGAGATGTGTTTTTCTATATTCTTCCTCTTATTAATATTATGACTATTATGATAAATACTGCTGCAGAAAAAAAGAGTGCAACATTTTGTTGTCTTCTGTCGATAGGAACATTAATATCTTTCTGTAGCATGGAGCGGATGGATGAAGGCCTAATCAATTAGTATGTATAGACACAGGAGGACTCTATGTCCCAGAGTGCCGTGCGGCTCGGTGCTTCAGGGTGGACCTGTGTGAGGTGGGAGTGTATCCTCATTTCACGGGAGTAAACCACCGGAGGTCTGCGGCTCTGTCGGTGCTCGGTCCGCTGTAACGTTCGTCCCGGTCGGGTGTTTGTGTCGCGGGTACCGGACAGTGTCGGTGAGACGGTGTCGGTGATGGAGGACGCGGCGGAGTGCGGGGTGTGCGGGGTGAAGGTGATGTGTCGCTTCAGGCCGCTCAACGACGCGGAGCGGAGCCGTGGAGACAAATACATCCCGAAATTTAACGGAGAGGACACGGTGGTGGTGGCGGTGAGTCTGTTACCGACTGTCCCGGTGTGTGTGTGATGGTTTTAGACCAGTGGGACCAGTAAACACGCGGTGTGTTTTACCGGCACACCCTCCTTATGTCTGTCTGTGTGTCTGTCTGCACGAACAATGGAAACACAATAGTCATAATCAGTTCTGATGATTCACAATGAAAATGAATCAAATATCATCTGAAATCAGCACAGACAGGAAACAAACATCTTTATTTCTGATACAGAACATTTGCTCGCATGTAAATGTAAAGTTTCATCATGTCATTAAGTGTCCATAATTGTTTATTAATTAGATATCAGATTATTGATCCTAACAGCAGCAGGACAGATGAAGATGAAAAGGATACTTTCATATATGTGTCTGTTTGTCCATCCACCTGACAGGTGTGGCTGATTCAGCAGCATCATTACAGCACAGACTGTCAACTGACCGTCAGACATCTCTGATGTCTTCTCTTTGAATTTGGCAGTACATCCAACCAGCCTCACAACTGCACAAGTTACAACAAATACAAACTGCTGTCAGGTGCAGATGATAAACATTCAGCTTCACTGAGACGGTGTCTGACTGTCTGTGCAGAAATTCTTCAGTTGTTAAAACTAGGGCTGGGCGATATGTCCTGAAAAATATATCACAGTATTTTTAGTCTATATCTCAATACTCAAATGGCTGTATCTCTATTTTTAAATATCTTCCAAAGCACTTAGTTAATGCTAGGACTGGGAGACAAAATCAAACATAATATTTGAGACAGAACACCCTCTCTGATGCAACAAAGTTGTAGAGATGACTATTTTTCTCTCGGAAAATATTAAATCTTTCAATAATAATGTGGATGTAATGACAAAGTGGATTAAGGCAAGCGTTAAAACAAATAAAATGTATTGTAAGTTGATACATTTACATCACTTTACTGTAATTCCGCCTTTAAAGAAGGGAATAAACACCATTTATGGCATATAATAATACAACCATATCCAAAATATAACACGATATACTGTCTCATATCACGGTAATGATATAATATCTTTATGTTGCAAAGCTCGAGTTAAAACCAACTGTTTCATCAGATGTTCATGTGGCTCGTCTCAGACAGTCTTACAGGTGAAGTCGCTGGATGTGGAGGTCCTGAGCTGGTGTGGTTACATGTGGTCTGTGGTTGTGAGGTCGGTTGGATGTACTGTCAAATTCACAGAAACAGCTTTGTAGAGGTCTCATGGTGTGAAGTGACCGTTCAGTTGACAGTCAACAGCTCTGGTGGACGCTCCTGCAGTCAGCATGTTGCAGGTTTATAACTAAATATAATGAGGTGGATTGAGATGAATAAATATCAGCAAGCTCTCTTTTACACAGACAGCCTTATTACAGTACATATAAAACACCAGAGCTACACGGAAGCTCCAGTTTATATCAGCAAGATATATAACAATGGAAAAAGTACTATGGGTGGGCGATATGGTCCTAAAATAATGTCACAATATTTCAGGGTATTTTTTCGCTGATATTCTTATAGTTAAAAAAAATATATCATTAAAGTAAGAAAATAGAATTGGAACAAAATAAGTGATCTAATTTTACAGTTTGCTTCAAGTACTCAGTTACAACTAAAGAAAAATGATCTGTTATTTCTTCAGTTTGTGAACAACAGCAGTAACTCAGAGTGAGATTATACGATATTAACCCCATGGGCCCTATAGGCATTTTTGGGGTATTTTTACTGCCTTTACTTTTAAGCTCATATCACAGTCATTATAAAGGCTAGATACACATGCTATATCTTGTTGTTTTTTTTCAGGTCAATCAGGGCTAACCAGATTTGCCATCATTCCATGTTCTTCTATGTGCCTGTATTTTATATTAATTTTTATATCAATGAAAAAAACAAATCCGTGTTACTAAATTCTTACATTTTTACATGTATCTCACCATAGCAAGTTGGAAGTTGACATATTCTGCCATATATGAAGAGGGGAGACTCTCTGGAATCTGGCAATATCAGAACCATGATGCTGGGACATTCTGTCACTTCACAGCTGTCCAAAACATGTGGTTTGTGCCAGGCGGACATGATTGACAGTATTTTTTCATTATTACAAGAAATTCCATTGACTCATTCACAAGTAAAAAATGTGTTTTATCTGAAAGAAACATGCAATATTTACATCTAAGATCATAGAAAAATAGTCAACCAAGTGCAATGATGTCCTCCAAGATAATATTTGTTTTTCAGTTTCAGTTATATATTGGGGGGACATTTTGGGCATTGGAGGGAGGGGGGGGCACGTGTCCCCCTCAATGTATATGGTGACTACGGCCCTGTCAGCATGCATTAGGCTACAGTTGTCTGGGTGCGCAAAGGTGAAGTGGCTGGTCTTGTCATACAAAGTTTGAGTGTCAACTGGACAATATGGAGATATTTGCATCTTGAAAACCGGACTACAAATGTGGATAGACAGGGAGAAACACACACAAGCCTAAGACGTGGTAAGATACGATATTCCTCACTATATGAAGTGACTGATAACAAGATCTGTATAATGGATTGTAAAGAATTTCTTCAGGTTTTTATTTTGTAGACAATTTATCTGTATTTATAGTTTGATGGGATGACAGCACAATGATGTGTGTGTTATCACTGGAAAGCTCTGCTCCTGCGCTTTCATGTGATATGCTTGGCATTTCTGTGCGAGCCTACGTTTGCGAATAATCCATCCAAGAGTAATGTGTGTGCAACGCTGTATGAAAGCTCTGTTATACATCATTTTAGTGTAAATTTATCATTTTTTTTCGCTGTGAAAACATTGGACTACCGACAAGTGCTTGGCCTTTTTGGAAAGCTACAGTTCCGCTGTTTCACGTGATATGCGTGGCTTCTCGCTATGACGCACGGTCGTGTAGAAAATCCACAGAGAAGAACAAGTGTGAATTTGGACGCACTATGCGTCGTTCGGGCCCATAGGGTTAATAGTTCAGCTAAATAAAATCTACCACAAATTACACATTTAAACAGCTCCCAAATACAAAAAATGTCCCCTGGGATCTATATATATAAATCAATGCAACATTTTTTTTCCACCTGGACCTTTATGCTCTGCCATTTCTCCTCTAATCATCACACTGTAACCTGTGACAGGCTGTTATGATACCACAACTATCACACAGTCACATATATGGAGATTTTTGTCGAGAGAGAGGCTGTGCTGCTGCCAGAGGAGCCGCTGAATGAGTTCCCTCTGAGCGGTAAGTCACTAAACGAGTCTGAGAAGTCCGGGGCTGTTCATAAAACATTCAAGACGCCACAGTTTATTCCACACTGCTGAAGCTGCTCCTCTTTTTGGAACCACCGCAGAGTCAGGAATAATTTCACTTTCAGCCATGCTTGTTGTTGCCATGGGTAACAGTATAACATCAATATGTCAACAAGTCGAAATATCACGAGTATCAGGATATGATTTGCATATTATATTAAAAATGATACTGGTCTTATCTGGAACAAGATGATATGGAACACCCCTACTGCAGAGTGTTTTACTTGTGTGGTGCAGAGTTTACTGGTCTCAGTATTAACATGATGATTTTCTAGAACCAAAAGTCTCGGGACCTTTTACAGTATGAATTTATTCTGTAGGTTTAAGACGCAAGGTTATAATAAATAAATAAATAAATAGTAAGTAGTGTTTTTCTCTTCTCTCTGCCAATGACTGCCATCCCATACAGTTGACAATGATTCGTCCTGAAGCCGTCCCCAGTTAGGACAGGACGATAGACTGCATGGAGACGTATTAAAATATAATGAGGCCCATTTATAACATAAATATAACGAGGAGAGTTCAGTCTGTCTCTGCTTCGTCTCTTGAACAGATGATGTTTAGTCTACTTCTTGTTTCTTTAACAAACTCATCTTTAAGTTTAAAAGTCTGGACACAACCTGAGCTGTATGTTGTTGTTACAGTAATACCGCCTTAAATATCCCGCAGTGTTTGATGCAGCGTCAGAGTTCAGTTCGATGGTGATTAAAGCAGAAACAGCAGAACGTAGCTGCGCCAGGTTTCTTTGACTTACTGTCGTCAGTCTGAAGGTTTTATTGACAGAACGGGGGATGGAGCTGCTGCAAAGTCTCATGGGAAATGATCTGTCTCTATGACAGTGGAGGCTGAAGGCCGTCGGGGGTCACGTGACCGACAGCAGAGCATCAACCCTGGGTACAGACGAGGCCCTCTGATAGGTCCAAACTAACCTTCATGTTAAAGAGGAGATGCACACTTAAAGATTTTACTGACCTTTTATTGAACAAATTTTTGATTTAGTTAAATTAAAAAGACCAGTTAACACACAGGATTGATTAATGATTATGTTAAATTAATCAGATTATTGAAGCTGTTTTTAGTAACATGTTGAAAATCAGTTTGTTTCTTCGGGTTTAAAAAAACAGCTTTAATGAAAACGTTTTGAAATGACTGAAACCAGAATAACAGTCCGCTGTGTGTGTGTGTGTGTGTGTATAATCATCTTTCCTTCCTCTGATTCCTTCTGTCGTCTCCCAGTGGGATGCAGTTACCATGACAACAGGCATTTTATTGAAGCACAGACTGAGGGTGATGAGGAGGTTTCTTCCTCGTTTCCGCCCAGACAGTTTATTACAGTTTAACTTAATAAAACAATCAGTCCACAGAAAATAAACCTGCAGCTGATTAATTATCTTAGTAGATATTATTATCGTGATTATTTTATTAGACCTTTTTCACGGCAGACATTTTGTTCCTCGCCATGCTAAGAAAAGCTCAGATGTAAATAATATTAAGATTAATGATGGCTCAGTTCCAGTAAGTATCCCAGTGAGTCAGCATGCAGCTCGTCTGACTCATAGGATCTAAACTGTAGCTATGAGCCTACCGTCGGCCAATGTTCTCCCTTCCTCTCTGCGTGTTTCTGTTTTTAAATCCCCTTCACTACAGGAAACGACAACAACATCTGAGCTTTCACACTGAAAATAACACGTTTTATTGAAGATTTAGATTGTGAAATAAGACATGCCTGATTGTTGTTTCAATGAACTATTGTAAAGATCTGCAATGAATAAAACAGCTTGTGAACAAGGGCTGGACGAGAAGGACAAAAATTCATGGCTCAGTATTTTCTATGAAATGGGCAACATGTTCTCAGCCACATGCACTTTTATACAAACAGACTGTGGTCAAAATAAAATGCAAAGACAGGGTTTTTTCCCTGTTTGAAAATTTACAGCTGCACGACACGTAAAAGAAAAATGGTATAAAATAAATAGCACACAGCAGTGGAGCTACAGAGGTTTAAAGGTTTGCAGCACAGCACAGTAAATTATAAAATGAGTATAAAGGTATCAAGTAGGTTTGGAAAAATTCAATATCTTTGTGGGCTAAGTTAAAAAGTTGTTTTCCATCTGTTGGCCTTTCAAATGAATCCAGTGCTGCAGAATGATTTAAATATTTTTATTTATTTAGGCTATAAATCTTATTTATACACAGAGCATGGACAGAGAGGTCGAGGGAGGAACAGAGACACTTTGTCCTCGTTATATACAGTACAGGCCAAAAGTTTGGACACACCTTCTCATTCAATGCGTTTTCTTTATTTTCATGACTATTTACATTGTAGATTCTCACTGAAGGCATCAAAACTATGAATGAACACATGTGGAGTTATGTACTTAACAAAAAAAGGTGAAATAACTGAAAACATGTTTTATATTCTAGTTTCTTCAAAATAGCCACCCTTTGCTCTGATTACTGCTTTGCACACTCTTGGCATTCTCTCCATGAGCTTCAAGAGGTAGTCACCTGAAATGGTTTTCCAACAGTCTTGAAGGAGTTCCCAGAGGTGTTTAGCACTTGTTGGCCCCTTTGCCTTCACTCTGCGGTCCAGCTCACCCCAAACCATCTGGATTGGGTTCAGGTCCGGTGACTGTGGAGGCCAGGTCATCTGCCGCAGCACTCCATCACTCTCTTTCTTGGTCAAATAGCCCTTACACAGCCTGGAGGTGTGTTTGGGGTCATTGTCCTGTTGAAAAATAAATGATCGTCCAACTAAACGCAAACCGGGTGGGATGGCATGTCGCTGCAGGATGCTGTGGTAGCCATGCTGGTTCAGTGTGCCTTCAATTTTGAATAAATCCCCAACAGTGTCACCAGCAAAACACCCCCACACCATCACACCTCCTCCTCCATGCTTCACAGTGGGAACCAGGCATGTGGAATCCATCCGTTCACCTTTTCTGCGTCTCACAAAGACATGGCGGTTGGAACCAAAGATCTCAAATTTGGACTCATCAGACCAAAGCACAGATTTCCACTGGTCTAATGTCCATTCCTTGTGTTTCTTGGCCCAAACAAATCTCTTCTGCTTGTTGCCTCTCCTTAGCAGTGGTTTCCTAGCAGCTATTTGACCATGAAGGCCTGATTGGCGCAGTCTCCTCTTAACAGTTGTTCTAGAGATGGGTCTGCTGCTAGAACTCTGTGTGGCATTCATCTGGTCTCTGATCTGAGCTGCTGTTAACTTGCGATTTCTGAGGCTGGTGACTCGGATGAACTTATCCTCAGAAGCAGAGGTGACTCTTGGTCTTCCTTTCCTGGGTCGGTCCTCATGTGTGCCAGTTTCGTTGTAGCGCTTGATGGTTTTTGCGACTCCACTTGGGGACACATTTAAAGTTTTTGCAATTTTCCAGACTGACTGACCTTCATTTCTTAAAGTAATGATGGCCACTCGTTTTTCTTTAGTTAGCTGATTGGTTCTTGCCATAATATGAATTTTAACAGTTGTCCAATAGGGCTGTCGGCTGTGTATTAACCTGACTTCTGCACAACACAACTGATGGTCCCAACCCCATTGATAAAGCAAGAAATTCCACTAATTAACCCTGATAAGGCACACCTGTGAAGTGGAAACCATTTCAGGTGACTACCTCTTGAAGCTCATGGAGAGAATGCCAAGAGTGTGCAAAGCAGTAATCAGAGCAAAGGGTGGCTATTTTGAAGAAACTAGAATATAAAACATGTTTTCAGTTATTTCACCTTTTTTTGTTAAGTACATAACTCCACATGTGTTCATTCATAGTTTTGATGCCTTCAGTGAGAATCTACAATGTAAACAGTCATGAAAATAAAGAAAACGCATTGAATGAGAAGGTGTGTCCAAACTTTTGGCCTGTACTGTACGTCTTGTATATGAAACATCAACGTTTAAACAGATCTGTCTCCTGCATCCAGGCGCTGTCTCACTGTCACACGGCGACTGGATTGCACATGTGCTGCTGTGCTAATTTAATTCATCTCACAGACTGATTTAGCATAGCAGGTTCAACATACAGACCGATGTCACACTGTAGACTAATGAACAGACAGATTAAACAGAGGAGCAGCTCTGTGTCTCTCTGAGTGTTGATGGAGAACTTGTGAGTGAGAGTGCACCAGCTTTTCGGAAGATCATGTAACTTGACCCTATATCGATATTAATAGTCTAGTCTAAATCCATATAGTGTACATAGTTATATCGCCCAGCCCTACTGTGAACACACCTCAGAAAAGCCCAGACTCTGTCTCACAGGACTCTCCCACCTGATGTTGAGCTCTTTCCTGACAGTCGGAGTTGATTTGCTTTACATCTCCAGTCAAACTATACCTGAATATACCCCTTTTTGTGCCGGCTGTCTGATCTCAGACCAACCTGACTTCTTGCCAGATCAACGAAGCGTCTGTTGCTGCTGTCAGTGGAGCTGCTGTCCTCCTGGAGAGTCTGCCAGGTTAGCACGAGCTAACACAGCAGCAGCGCTTACATCCAACACTCTGCCGTTAAACGTCCCAACAAACTCACACTGACACTGAAGTGGGTCTATTCTGTAGTTAAACCCGTTAATAAATGTTAATGTCAGCTGTGTGATGCTAACAGTCAGCCCGGTCAGAGATTTTTAAAGTGAGAATTAAAATACATACATGGACTGAACCAGCTGCTGATGTGATTTTAAAAAGAGAGGCCGAATTAAAGGAGGTAGATCAATACAGCTTGTTTTTGTTTGTTTGTTTTTCCGCCACAGTCTTAATGTTGTTATTGATGAAATAAACAAATAGCTTCATGTGTGGCTGCAGGTTTTCGGGGCCAATGACAAGTCTTTGACATGTGATATGCTTTTTACTGCACAGATACATCAAGATTTATGTAGACATAGATCTGAGTATCATCTGCATAACGATTGAATATGACGTGCGTGTGAGTGAGGAGAAGCAAACCCCCGCTTATCTAAACCTCCTTAACAGTAAAATTACATGATTGACTGATCAGAAGAAAGTTTGGGAACAGCTGCACGGATCCATTAATCAGCTGATAATGTAAACAGAATCAATAATAATCAGCTGTGTTGTTTGTGTTTTTGTTCTCTGAGGATTTTAAACATTCATGAATCTTGTTTTCAAACTTTGTCTCATTCCAGCTTCTCAGATGTGACATTTAGTGAGAATGAAGTGAATAACTTAAAGAAAAAGACTCTCAAAGATGCTACTGTAGACTCTGGGGACATTCACAGAGCCATAATGAAATAAATAAAAACACTGACATTTTAATATTCAGAGAGTCTCTGGATGAAACTGTCCTCAGATCAGTTAAATGTCAGCAGATTGGAAACAGGAAGCTGCAGACTTGTCTCATCCGTTAGTGAAAACATCAGTTTAATCTGGAGTTCAGACTCACTCTGACACTTCCTGTGCTTTCAAGTTTGTTCAGCAGCTACACATGTTTAACATGTCTGTGAATATGTTCAGTGTGTCTGTAAATATGTTCATGCTCCACAGACAGTGAATGGTGATAGATGTTGTAGATGAAAGCAGACAGGGGCACGTTCTAAGTATATGGAAACATTTTCTGTTTCACAACTGAGAACTCTGCAGTAGAACAAAGATCAAACGAAATTAGTCTCCTGTTTATTGCCTGTGGAGCAGCTCCAAACTTTATACCTGACATCACAAGTTTAAGACTTCCTCCACTGGTTTGCTCTGGCTTATTAAAATCCTCAAGACTCATAAATAATGAAATATTCAGACTTCCCCTTGAGTTGTATTTGAAGTTTCCCCTCTCAAACTTTCACAAGATGTTTTGCTGTTTTTATTTTATATTTCTAATAGAGTGTACCTGTAGTTTAATTCAAAGTCATTTATTTGGTTTTATCAGTATTTTTGGTCGTCATGCTCTAACAAACTAGCATAATGTTTGAAGTGTTTGAAGCTACTTAACCCTTTGAAACCTGAGCTAATTGGCTAGATTTCTTTTAATTGAGCAACAAAAAAAATAATGACCCCCAAAATTAGCAAGAAATTAGTAAAAAGAGAAAATTAAGACCAAGAAAATTTGTAGAAAATAAATGAAAAATAAAAGAAAGAAAGCAAAAGTTAAAAACAAACATGAAAAATGACCTGAAAAGAATGCTTAGATTTATAATAATTCTGTAACATAATTCTAAAATGTAATAATAATAAAAATTAAAAATATAATTTTTCTCTAGCTTTTACTTTTTTCTCTAGTTTTTGAAAAAAAAAAATTCTAAATCATGTTTTTGAAAGAAATCGCTGAAGGTTGAAAGGTTTTAATACTACCGAAAGGCGCCTGAAAGCAGCACAAGAAATGTGATGTTACTGCAGGTTTCAAAGCGTTAAAGAAAGGAGGAGGAAACTGTTTGTTAAAGGCATATAACAGAGACTTTTGTGTTGATGCTGTGTTTTCTGTGTTTTAGGGGAAGCCGTATGTGTTTGACAGAGTCCTCCCTCCGAACACTGAACAGGTTCAGGTGTACGACACCTGCGCAAGACAGATCGTCAAAGGTCAGTTCACACCATCATATATACACAAACACACACACGCAGAAAAAAGTACAGATAAGTATACATAAACTGATGAATAATAAACTAGCCTTTATCAGTCAAACTAGGGGCTGGTTCATGTCCAGCCTGAGCCAGCCCTGACTATAAGCTTTATCAAAGAGGAAAGTCTTAAGTCAACTCTTACATGTGGAGACAGTGTCTGCGTCCAGGACTGAAACAGGAGGATGTTTCCACAGAAGAGGAGCCTGACAGCTGAAGGCTCTGGCTCCTCCTCTGTTGTGTGTATAATGTGTGTGTGTTGTGTTTCAGATGTGTTGGGAGGATACAATGGGACCATCTTTGCTTACGGTCAGACGTCATCAGGAAAGACTCACACCATGGAGGTCGGTCTGATTCACCACAACACTTAATACTTTTCAGTGTTAATCAGCTGCTTTAACTCTGTTGATTATTTTTATGTTACTCTTAGTTTATTCTTTAGGGCTCTCGCGTATCTGTGCCTGAAACCATGTCTGTGTTTTATGTTTTTATGTTGCACTGCTTTAAATTTTCAGGGGAATCTGCACGACCCTCATGTGATGGGGATCATCCCTCGTATTGCCAGAGACATCTTTGACCACATCTACTCCATGGATGAAAACCTGGAGTTTCACATCAAGGTGATGATGTCATCTTTACACTGATGACATAAACAGTCGCATCAGTCGGGAGCCGTCTACATCAAACAAAGATCATTTATTAAACACTGTGTTGTTTTTATTTATTTTTTTATGCCTTCATGCTGCCAACAGATGTGAGCAGAGACAGTAACCCTCATTTATCAATCTATCTTACAAACTAGCAGATCTGAGCATAGAAATCTTTTTACGATGGGGTTCGTGTATGATACGTGGAGAGACGTCATATGTGCGATTTAACACAGAGACGCACAACCGCCAGGCGGTAATGGTAGTTTTATTTTTGATAAATATTTATAATTCCATTAATCCTTCATTTTGTCCCCAGAAAATCACATAATGGTTTGTGCTACAGTAGTAAGACTATAATAAATAAATAATAACATGACAGTGAAACAAACACATCACATTAAAACTGTGACATTATGAATAAAAACATAAATTGATTTTAGGTCCTCAGTGTGTTTGTGTTTTTATATCAGCTCTAAGACATGAACTCACACTGTATATTGAATACAAGTCCTTTTTGGGCTGCAGGCACCCTGTAGTTTCCTTTTATTAAATGTATCGTAGGTCTGTCAGATTCTTCTGTGTTGTGTTGTCGTTGGTAAGAACCACAGTGTGTTTTTAAATCTGATCTGTGATCAGACGTCCTGCAGAGACCAGCAAGGCGTTCACTGACCAACATGCTCTCCATATGCTCGCTGCTCACCAGCTGCTCTTTATTCACAGCCTCTAACATACAGTAAGCAGGTACATGTTATATTTATATTTATATGAATAACAACAATTCTGAGTCATATCCACTTATATCAATATAAAATTTAGCTGATAAAAATAAAGTATGCAGTAAAAATGTGTTTCAATTTTATCAGTATGTTGTATGTAAATCATCTCTGACACTGAAACAGAATAATTAGATTTAATAATGTAATTTAAATGTGTATTAGGAGGTTGTGGAGGTAATGCTGAAGCCTGAGTCATCCTCAGTCTGTGAACACATGAATATAATGCACTCCTTCCCACTGAAGCAGAAATATTATGTTTTGTGGTGAGAGCATTTATCACTGTATCTTGTGTCTGGTTTTCTCTGCAGGTCTCTTATTTTGAAATCTATCTGGATAAAATCCGAGACCTACTGGACGGTGAGGATGAAACTGAACATATTTAATATTCACAGTTTTAAACACAAACAGTGATGATGATCGTTTGATTCATGTTCCAGTGTCGAAGACAAACCTGGCCGTTCACGAGGACAAAAACAGGGTTCCTTTTGTCAAGGTATGTAATGTTTAATATTTAAAGTAGAATAAAGTGGCATCAGTACTGCAGGATCAGTACTATAGGATCAGTATTACCATAGCAGCACTTCACTGATGTGTGTTTCCCTACAGGGCTGCACGGAGCGTTTTGTTTCCAGTCCTGATGAAGTGATGGACGTCATCGATGAGGGAAAAGCAAACAGACACGTTGCCGTCACCAGTGAGTGTCTAACTGTACCACTTATACTACTGCTAGTATAACACTACTACTGTCTACTTAATTTAATTCAAATATGTTGCAATATGCTGGTTATTGCAATAAAATATTTTGTGATATATTGCTGAGTCATATTTGGCAGTAACACCGCCATCTCTGGGGGGCGCTACACTGATAATCTGGTTCCTCTTTTTATTTCCTCTGTAAGTATTAAGATGTATTTCCTGTTTGTTTGTCCTGCAGACATGAACGAGCACAGCTCTCGCAGTCACAGTATCTTTCTGATCAACATCAAGCAGGAGAACGTGGAGACGGAGCTCAAACTGTCTGGGAAACTTTACCTGGTCGACCTGGCAGGCAGCGAGAAGGTCATACTGCTTCACCACACTCACTGTATTTAACTCATTTAATCATGAGTCACATTGTAACTCATCAACATAGCATTAACATAGCAATAACATAGATTCATCATTCATGGTGTGATGATGATGATGATGATGATGTTCAGGTGAGTAAAACTGGAGCAGAAGGCTCCGTGTTGGACGAAGCCAAGAACATCAACAAGTCTCTTTCTGCTCTGGGGAACGTCATCTCTGCTCTGAGTGAAGGAACGGTGAGTCTTCTAAAATCACGTTAGCTAACGTAGCATTGTGAAATGTAAACCTGAAATGTTCCGAATAGTTTATAAACTTCACAAAAAGCACATTTCCTAAAGTCCAGTTGTGGAACTTCAGCCGTCAGTGATGTCATTCTGAGTTTGTGTATGTCTTTATAGAAAACGCACGTCCCGTACAGAGACAGTAAGATGACTCGGATCCTTCAGGACTCTCTGGGAGGAAACTGTCGGACCACCATCATCATCTGCTGCTCTCCTTCTGTTTACAACGAGGCTGAAACCAAGTCCACCCTCATGTTTGGACAGAGGTGCTGTGAAGGAACACATATTACAGTCTGGTTGTGAAGCTGACGTCAGTCCAGGACCAGATAGATCAGTTTATTATAAACTTGTGTACAGTGGCATGCAAAAGTTTGGGCACCCCTGGTCAAAATTATGTGTACAGTGAGTAGTTAGGTAAGTGGAAGATGTACTGATGTCCTAAAGGCAAAAAGTGAAAGATAAATACATTAAAGAAGCAGGTATCACCGCTTCTAAACACATTTGGTATCCAGCTCAGAGTCTTTCAGTTCTTGTTTGGAGGATTTTCATCCATTCTTCCTGCAAAAGGCTTCTAGCTCTGTGAGGTTCTTGGGTCATCTTCATGCACTGCTCTTTGAGGTCTATCCACAGATTTTAATGATTGTCCGGTTGTAGAAGCCATCCTCTCTTCGTCTTCAGCTTTTTTACATTTGCTGTGATGTTTGCATTAAGAATTTGCTAGAATTCAACTGAATCCATTCTTCCCTCTACCTGTGAAATGTTCCCCGTGCCACTGGCTGCAACACAAGTCCAAAGCATGATCCATCCACCCCTGTGTTCAACAGTTGGACAGGTGTCCCTTTGCTCATTGTGTCCACTAAGTTCTGTTTCAACTTCATCAGTCCACAGGACTTGTTTCCAGAAAGCATCAGGCTTGTTCCGATGTTCCTTTGCAAACTTCTGACGCTGAATTTTGTGGTGAGGACACAGGAAAGGTTTTCTTCTCATGACTCTTCAGTGAAGGTCATATTTGTGCATGTGTGTCTTCACAGTAGAACAGTGCACCACCACTCTAGAGTCTGATAAATCTTCCTGCAGGTCTTTTGCAGTCAAATGGGGGTTTTGATTCGCCTGTCTAACAATTCTACGAGCGGCTCTTTCAGAAAGTTTTCTTGGTCTTCAAGACCTCAACTTGACCTCCACAGTTCCTGTTAACTGCCATTTCTTATGAAAAATTACCAACTGAGTGCTAGGCAGCTCTTTAGAGGTGACCATGGCTGCTGATTGTTGGGACAAGATTTCAGGAGTCAGTTGAAATTTGCATCACCTGGCCTTTCCTAACGATGATTGTGAAAAAGCCAGAGTCCTAACAAGCCAATTAAGGTGTGAGACCCTAATAAAAGTTGTCGTAGAGCTCAAATGTCTTGAGGTGCCCAAACTTTTGCGTGGTGCTCCTTTCCTTTTTCCCTTTCCTCTTTTTTTAAAACCGCAGTTAAAGAAGTTTATTTTGTTCAATTGTTGCATGTTGAACTTAAGGATCTCTCTGGTTGGACTGAAGTACAGATTTTTACTTCTTGCCGTTGGCTTGTAATTTTTCTGTCAGTGCTTTATTACACAGTCTCTTATCACCCTTCATCTCTCTCAACACCTCAAAATGTATTGGTCCATACATCATCTCTTCTGTTGCAGACAGCACCCGGCTCTCTGAGTGTTTGTTAACCACCACTTCCTGTGCTGTTTCTGTGTTTTTAGAGCTAAAACCATAAAGAACACAGTGTCGGTGAACCAGGAGCTGACTGCTGAGGAGTGGAAGAAGAAGTACGAGAAGGAAAAAGAGAAGAACAGGAGTCTGAACATCACGATACAGAAACTGGAGAACGAGCTGAAACGCTGGAGGAAAGGTAAACAGGAGAAATTTAACATTCACTTAACACAGACATCTGCAAACTGTGTGAGCTTACATGTGTTGGGTTCAACTGTTTTAGTCCTCTGTGCTGAATGATTCCATTGAAATGAATGAGGGGGCCTGAACATGGCCGCACACCCTGTTTACACATACGACCTTTCTTAACTCTCCCAGGTGAGTCTGTACCTGTGGAGGAGCAGCTGAGCAGAAACAAGAAAACCAGCAGTGAGACGACAGCAGTGATTGACAGCCTGGCCCCACCCCCCGCCCCCCTGTCAGACGAAGAGAAGACGCAGTATGAGACGCTGATCACAGACCTGTACCATCAGCTGGATGACAAGGTGAGTCTCACCTGTGCCAGCTGTGACCCTTTTATATTGGTTGAGCCTGTGAAACACTGACAATCTTCTGACGAGGTATCTGATGTTTTTATATCGTAATCTGTCTGCACTTTTATGTCAGTACATTATTTCAAACCCCAGGAAGACTACAGGCACTTTGATGTGCTTCACCTGGGGATCCTTGAATAAACATTAAATTCATCTTTCAGGATGAGGAGATCAACCATCACAGTCAGACGGCTGAAAAATTCAAACAGCAGCTGATGGATCAGGACGAGGTGAGTCTCACCTTGCTGTACAAACCGTCATAGTGGTATGTATCTAATATCAATCACTGCAATCATGGTCCCTCCACCTCTTTGTAACCCTTCATCCAGCTGTTGCTGTCGAGCCGTCAGGACTATGAGCGTGTGCAGGGGGAGCTGTCACGGCTGCAGAGGGACAGTGACTTGGCCAAAGAAGAGGTGAAGGAGGTGCTGCAGGCGCTGGAGGAGCTCGCTGTCAACTACGACCACAAGAGCCAAGAGGTGGAGACCAAGAACCGCTGCAACCAACAGCTGAACGAAGAGCTGGCACACAAAACTGTGAGTCCATATAAACAACAAGGCTCAGGATGGTGGGACAATAGGATGTTGGGATGTTAGGACAATAAGAAGAGACGGTAGAGTGTGAGGATGTTAGGATGATAGGACTGTAGGATGTTAGAATGGTAGGACGATGTGAAGTAGGGACAGTAGAATGTTAGGAATGTAGGATGTCAGGACAGTATCGTAGGACAATAGAATGTTAGTATGGTAGGACAGTAGGATGGTAGAACTGTAAGACGCTAGGATGGTAGGACATTAAGGGGTTAGGACGGTAGGATGTTAGGACAGTAGGATGGTAGGACAATAGAAGGTTAGGATGGTATGACAATAAGATGTAAGGAAAGTTGGATCTTAAGACAGTTGTATCGTAGGACATTTGGACAGAAGGATGTTAGCATGGTAGGATAATAGGATGTTAGTACAATAGGATTTTAGGATGTTATGACAGTAGGATTTTAGGACAGTTGGATGCTGGGACAATAAGATGATGAGATAGTTGGATGCTAGAATGTAAGGATAGTAGTGTCAGGATGGTAGGTTATTAAAATGGTAGGATGGTAGGACAGTAGGATGTTAACCTGGTAGGATAATAGAATGTTAGGTTGGCAGGATATTAAAAAAGTTGGATGGTAGGACAGTGAGATAATGAGATAGTTGGATGCTAAAATGTAAGGAGAGTAGTATGTTAGGATGGGAGGATGTTAGAATAGTAGGGTGTTAGGACAGTAGGATGGTAGGATTTTAGGATGGTAGGATGGTCGGAAGTTAGAACAGTAGGATGTAAGGATGGTAGGATGTTAGGAAAGTTGGATGGTAGGACAACAGGATGTTAGGACAGTAGGATGGTAGGATTTTAGGATGGTAGGAAGTTAGAATAGTAAGGTGTTAGGAAAGTTGGATAATAGGACAGTAGGATGTTATGACATTAGGATGGTAGGATGTTAGGATGGTAGGAAGTTAGAATAGTAGGATGTTAGGATGGTAGGTCAGAATAGTAGGATGTTAGGATGGTAGGGTGTTAGAATAGTAAGGTGTTAGGAAAGTTGGATAATAGGACAGTAGGATGTTAGGACATTAGGATGGTAGGATGTTAGAATTGTAGGATGTAAGGACAATAGGATGTTAGGACATTAAAATGGTAAATGGACCTGCATTTGTATACCGCCTTTCTAGTCATCTAGTGACCACTCAAAGCGCTTTTTACACTACGAGTCACGTTCACCCATTCACACACACATTCATACACTGGTGGCTACTCAGTTTTAACACACTCACACACCGATGGAACAGCCATCGGGAGCAATTTTGGGTTCAGTATCTTGCTCAAGGATACTTCGACATGCAGCCTGGAGGAGCCTGGGATCAAACTGCTGATCTTTCGATTGGTGGGCGACCCGCTCTACCTCTGAGCCACAGCCGCCCCTGTAGGATGTTAGGATGATAGGAAGTTAGAATAGTAGGATGTTAGGATGGTAGAAGGTTAGAATAGTAGGTTGTAAGGACAATAGGATGGCAGGATGTTAGGATGATAGGAAGTTAGAATAGTAGAATGTTAGGATGTTAGAATAGTAGGATGTTAGGATGGTAGAATAGTAGGATGTGAGGAATTTCGGATGGTAGGATAATAGGATGTCGGGATGCTTGTTCTAAGTCTGAGCTGTGTACGTTCATGGAGATCAGCTCTTCTTCCTGTCCCATGTTTTCAGGTGAGTCTGGAGACGGTTCAGAGGGAGCTGTCCACCCTGCAGGAGGTCAGTTCTCACTATAAGAAGAGGTCAGCAGAGATCCTCAGTCTGCTGCTCAGAGACCTCAGTGACATCGGCAGCGTACTCGGAACCACCGACCTCAGAGCTGTAAGACATTTACACACTGCACTAATTTCACATGTCTGCCTCCGTTGTGTTGACCTGACATTTCGTTTGTCTTTGGAAAAAGTTAAAGAAAAACTCACTGATCAATCTGCTGATAGTTTCCTCAGTGAATCGATTAGTCTATAAAATGCATCATACACACATACAGCCTTAAATAACCTGCCAGAATCTTTCTGTCTCTTCAGATGACGGAGACGAGCGGCGTGATGGAGGAGGAGTTCACCACCACTCGTCTCTACATCAGCAAGATGAAGTCTGAGGTCAAATCTCTGGTGAACCGCAGCAAACAGCTGGAGCTCAACCTGACGGAGAACATGTGCAAGATGGAGGCCAACGAGAAGGAGCTCAACACCTGCCAGCTGCTCGTCTCTCAGGTAAAGTTCAACTCACAGTCTAGAAGTTCGCCTTATTCAATGGATAAAATAATAATAATAATAAACTTTGTTTATGTAGCACCTTTCATGCTTTCGTGCTTCACATGAAATCAGACGTAATGAACATAAAACAGACCAATAAGGCAGTTCAGTATCAAAGGACATTAAAAAACTGTAAAACAAAAACTAATTGATGAATAAATCATATAAAGTCCTGTAGTTATGATTGGGCTCTATGGGGGAGCTGAATGTCTGATTTTACATAGAAGTGATTGTGTGTGTGTGTGTGTGTGTGTGTGTGTGTGTGTTGCAGCTCCAGGCGAAGATTGTGTCTCTGTCAGACGACCTTCAGAGGGTGGAGCAGAAGAAGAGGAAGCTGGAGGAGAGTCAGGACTCTCTGATGGAGGAGATCGCCAAACTCCATGCTCAAGGTCAGACAGCGTTACCATGGTTACAGCAAACACTGCTCTATGATTGGCTGTCAGCAGTGTGTCTGAGTAGAGAAGAAAACAAATCTGTTATAAAAACAACTTTGAGTCTTTAAAACTATAAAATTAATAAAAACTGATATTCAAGGAAAATATTTAAATGCAATAAAAATATGTGTGTGTGTGTGTTTGTGTGTGTTCAGGTCAGATGCAGGAGCTGACGGTGATGGACAAAGAGAAGGAACACATGAGCAGACTGAAGGACGCTGTCGAGATGAAGGTAAAAATCTTCCTCCTCATCTGAATTCAGTTTGAAGCTCCTCATCATGGTTTCCTCCTGGTGAGAGATCTCGTAGTGTTTGACATCCTGTTGCCACTCAGTCGACGACTGTGAAAGTCACGCAGTGAGAGCTGAAGTGTTGCTGCTGTGTGTTCTGCAGAGAACTCTGGAGGAACAGATGGAGAACCACAGAGAGGTTCACCACAAACAGCTGAGTCGCCTCCGAGATGAGATTGAGCAGAAGCAGAGAGACGTCGACCAACTCAAAGAGTACGTTATTCATTATTAGAACTCATCAGTGTCTGAGGAGGGCGTTGTGTGGTTTTGATTATTTTTAATAGTTAGTTATTTAAGTGCTCAGCTGAGTGCACTTTTAAAGTTATAATTGTCATCACGAAAAATACTTATTTTAGTCACATTGATCATTTAGTCTAGTTTTCTGAGTAGTTCTAGTTTTACTCTGATGTTTTAGCCTTTTTTGTCATGTCACGTTAATCATGTTGAGGCTGCAGCTGTATTAACGTGTCGGCAGTGATGTAGTGTGATTAAATGTTGTTTTATTTCAGTGTGAACCAGGCTCTGCAGCTGGAGAACAGGAAGCTGCAGTCGGACTTTGACAAACTGAAGGCTGAGGATCAGAACAAAGACCAGAGACTCCAGAAGCTGATGTAAGTTTGTCCCTTTGTGCTCACCATAGACTCAAAATATCAGAAAATATAAGAAGTTGAAATATCTGTAGGCTGAGGTGTAGAAGTTGGTGCATTGATAAAACAGAAATGTCGGAGGAACAAACACTCATCGGTTTGTGTGATTCAGGTTCCTGAATGAAAAGAGAGAACAAGCCAAAGAGGATCTGAAGGGTCTGGAGGAGACGGTGGTACGTCACTGTTTTACATTCATCGTATCTTTATATCTGCTGCAGTGACACATATGAGATCAGTGAGTGAGTTCTGGTGTTTCATCCAACAGGCCAAAGAGCTGCAGACGCTGAACCACCTGCGTAAAGTCTTCATCCAGGACCTCGGTACTCGAGTCAAGAACGTAAGAAAACCATCAGTCAGTCAGGTTCCATTGAAAACAATGTGTTTACCTGTTTGGATGCTCATCGTTCATCACAGATGTCTGTCTCAGTTTGTGAGATCATGCTGTTTTTCTGTGAGATGTCAGATGCATGTCAGACTGTGTGTTTAGTGATGAACCCAAACATCAGCGTTTCTTCTTTAAACAGAGTTCAGAGAACGACTGTGACGAGGCCGGCGGCAGTCTGGCTCAGAGACAGAGGATCATCTTCTTAGAGAACAACCTGGAGCAGCTCAGCAAGGTTCACAAACAGGTCAGTGAAGCACCCACCTGAGATACTGCTGCTAACCTGCTCATCTTTAGGCTCACCTCACACGGAGAGTTTACAATCATCAGAGTGGCATGTTTACATCATTCTATCCAGTTTTTACACAACTCGCAGGGCTGAGTGAAAAATCAGTTCATAGATGAATCGTGATGAATACATAAACGTGTCTTCCGCTGTTATCTCTGTACGATTCTCCTTTAAATTCAATCACTGTGTGAAACAGGACTTACTCGGACCTGCTGTTTGATGAACACTGAACGAGTCACATCTGAAGTCTCAAGACATTTAACCCTTTGTGTTCTGCAGCTGGTGCGGGACAATGCTGACCTTCGCTGTGAACTGCCCAAGCTGGAGAAGCGTCTGCGTGCCACAGCAGAGCGAGTGAAAGCTCTGGAAGCCGCCCTGAGAGACGCCAAGGAGGCGGCTGTGAGGGACCTCAAACGCTACCAACAGGAAGTGGACCGCATCAAAGAGGCCGTCCGCTCTAAGAACGTCTCCAGGAGAGGACACTCTGCTCAGATAGGTGAGGGACAACAAACGGGGTGGTACAGGGAGAGGTCTGAGGACCTTTGAGGGTTTCAGTGTGAGTTTGTGTCCTGATGGAGGAGTTTGAAGAAGCCAACATTAACAGCTGATTCACCTGTCTCCATGCAGCCAAGCCAATCAGAGCTGGTCATCAGCACCATCAGCACCCGTCCTCCTCCACATCCATCAGGCCGACCATCCGAGGAGGCGGGGCGATGTCCAGTCCACGTCATCAGTACCCCCGACAGCAACAACCACAGCAACTACAACCCCATCAGAGCCACAGCAAGTAGGCTACAGGTGAGTCACAACCACAACAACACAGCAACCATGTCAGCAACCACAACATCAGAACATCCACATCAGCATCCACAACAACACAACAACCACAGCAACCATGTCAGCTACAACCCCATCAGAGCCACAGCAAGTAGGCTACAGGGGAGTCACAACCACAACAACACAGCAGCAACATCAACACCCACAACCACAGCAACATCCACAACAGCACAGCAACCACAACAGCACAGCAACAACATCAACATCCACTACCGTATCAAAATCCACAACAACACAGCAACCACGTCAACTGCAACCCCATCAGAGCCACAGCAAGCAGGCTACAGTGAGCCACATCCACAACAACACAGCAACAACATCAACACAGCAACCATGTCAGCAACCACAACATCAGAGCGTCCACAACAACACAGCAACCCCATCAACATTCCGAGCAACACAGCAACAGCAATCCCATCAGAGCTACAGCATGTAAGATACAGGTCAGTCACGCCCACAACAACCACATCAACAATCACAGCAACCCCTTCAACAACCACAGCAACCCCATCAACAATCACAGCAACCACATCAACAGTCACAGCAACCACAGCAACCACATCACCAATCACAGCAACCACATCAACAACCACAGCAACCCCATCAACATTCCGAGCAACACAGCAACAGCAACCCCGTCAGAGCTACAACATATAAGATACAGGTCAGTCACACCCACAGCAAGCACATCAACAACCACAGCAAGCACATCAACAACCACAGCAGTTGTTTCTATGATCCTGTTTAAAATTGATGTAAAATAAAAAACTATAAGAGCTGGAGTATTCATCTTTTTGCAACAGACTTCTGTCTTTAATGTCCTCATGACATCCACTTGCAATACCATCATTATGTTACGCTACAAGCTGCTGTCATGTATGTACATTCTTGTGTGTTCACTCTTGCATTTTATCTGTTTTTATTTTCTGTATAACCAATCGCCCTCCAGGGACAAAAATAAAGTTGAAGAAGCAGGTTGATAGAAAGTCTGTTGTATTTTTTTGACACAATTTCAGTACTTTAATTAATTACTATGGTTTACTGACTTACATGACCTTATACAGTATCTCACATAAGTGAGTACACCCTCCCATTTTTGGAAATATTTCATTATATCTTTTCATGGGACAACACTATAAAATGACACTTTGATATAACTTAAAGTAGTCAGTGTACAGCTTGTATAGTAGTATAGATTTACCTTCCTCTGAAAATTACTCAAAACACAGCCATCAACATCTAAACATCTGGCAACATAAGTGAGTACACCCCACAGTGAACATGTCCAAATTGTGCCTGAAGTGTCAATATTTTGTGTGCCAACCATTATTATCTAGCACTGCTTGAACCCTTTTGGGCATGGAATTCACCAGAGCTCACAGGTTGCTTCAGGAATCCTCTCCCACTCCTCCATGATGACATCATGGAGCAGATGGATGTGAAGACACCTTGCGCTACCCCACCTTCAGCTTGAGGATGCCCCACAGGTGCACAGGTGAGTTTAGGGCTGGATACATACTTGGCCAGTCCATCACCTTCACCTTCAGCTTCCTCAGCAAGGCAGTTGTCATCTACTAGGTGTGTTTTGGGTCATTATCATGTTGAAAAACTTGGTAATGAAAACTTGCAGCTTAGTTTCTGAAGAGGGGCGATCATGCTCTGCTTGAAATTCATGTTTCCCTAGCTCCCCGGAGCTGGCAGCACTCATGCAGCCCCAAACCATGATGCTGCCACCACTATACTTGACTGTAAGCAAGGGACAGTTGTCTTGGTGCTCTTTCAGCATGTGTGGCACCTTGATGAAGAGCACCTGAAGTGCAAGTGCAAGTTTTCATTATCAAATTTTTCAACATGATAATGACCCAGAACACACCTAGAAGATGACAACTGCCATGCTGAGGAAGCTGAAGGTGAAGGTGATGGACTGGCCAAGTATGTATCCAGCCCTAAACTCACCTGTGCACTTGTGGGCCATCCTCAAGCTGAAGGTGGGGTAGCGCAAGGTGTCTTCACATCCATCTGCTCCATGATGTCATCATGGAGGAGCAAGAGAGGATATGAAATACCAAAAAACACCAGAGTAGGCACTGGTGGATTGTTTCTATGGCTTCACAGTTCAAAGAGTTAACACTATAATTTGTCAAAAAACACAGATGTTATCAGGGACCCACTTAAATGACCACCTGTGGGTCCAAAACCATCACCGTCACTGCATTTCATTGGTTTTTTTCAGTGTGTGTAGGCTAGTCATTGTCTGGGGTCGATCGTTGCAATATTCAACAACATAATTTCATATCGTGTGTTTTCCTGATGCTGTTCTGTCCTAGTTGACACCTTGAGTCTTTATAATTGAAGCTTTGTCACTTCCTGTCTTCACAGGTAGCTCACACACCTCTGGATCACTTTCCTTTTCTGTGGATCTTTGAATTTCTGAACTGTCCTGCTCTCACCACTTCTGCCTTTACTGGAACCAGACCTCTTGTTTCCACAACTGTCAACCATAACAGCCATTCCACCTTAACAGCCAACAAGTGCTTTCTTTCCTCCTCTGAGTCTGTTCAGCTGTCTGACTCTGCCTTTTGTTTTTCCGACAGAAATCAGTCAGCTCTGGTGCTTTGAGTCTGTTTGTCTTTGTTCACTGACAAGTTTAATGTGTTTAATAAGAAGTTTATTAAGATAAGTGACAGTTTAATAATAAGTTAAATAAGTAGATTTCAGGTTTCTGTCTAAAGCTAACAGGAGTTGGATGATAATACAGTGATGTTGATAGGTCCTGACGCATTAAAATCTGTAAGGACGCAGTGAACTCACTACGTTTCCTAAAGGCTACGTTGTGAACATCACACTATGAAAACTGCGTTGAAAGCTTGGCGCTAATTATGTTAAAAGTATATGTCATGTTACTGAAACCTCCTGAAACCTATCACCATCACTGACAATATGTAGGCAAATATCTTTATGGCCGACAGACATTGATCCATGTGTCGTTATGGAAAATCAGCATGTTCGGAAAAATTAAAGCAGCTGTGCGGAACTTTACGTTTTCGTTGATTATAGCACCCCCTTTGGTCGAAGCGGTATGACACCCACAGCCTGGTGTCGTAAAATCTCGACTGCAACCGGCAATTACTGCATGCATTTGTTTTGAAGAGCGAGAGGAAAATCATAAATGTTCTGGTGTAGCTCTGAATTTCTTATAAACTGAGGACAACTGCCTGCTGTATATTTGTGTTCATGGTCACAGTCACACATCATTTTGTGGCGTTTGTTGTAACGTTACTAGACAAAAGCGGTTCACATCAGCTAACGTTACATTTAGCTTGCTTATAACCTCCATGTCGTTGTATATTGAAGTGAAACAACGTCTAACAAGTTGCGGTATATTCTCTAAATAAAAACAAAAATTACACACCTGTCGATTAGGAAAAGGGCCAACTCGGGATCAGTTTTAAAACCTTTCAAATCTCTCAGCTCTCTCCACTTGGTGAATGCCCGACCAAGGTTTACACGTGTTTGGGCTCGAGCCCTATCACTGTCCCGTTTAGCCTTCTTCTGTTCTTTTTCTTTTAGATGGTGCTCCTTCTTTATCCGCCATGACATCGAAAGTGCAACCAAGTCCTTACAGATACATCTGGTAAAACTGTTATGTGTTCAGCAATGCCCGTTGCGTACCGCTTACTCGAAGAACACTCTCTGTAAACACGGCTCTTCTTCTTCAGTTTATTGGCAGACTTCCAGGTGCATACCACCACCTACTGTACAAGAGACTACTCCCTACTACATGTCATTTAGCCTGTTTCTTAAATCCTACTCGTAAACATGGCTCCTTCTTCTGTGGTTTAATGGCTGCGGGCTGCTGCGGGCGTGCAGACTTATTTCCACCTCCGGGTGCCGTATACTGGTTTGCTGACTTCCGCTGTGTCCGACCTGACCGAGACTACGCTAAATAGCCACAAAGGCTTTTTTGTCGCTGTTGGGTTCAAATAAATATGCGGATCTTAAAGGAGGGGTGATACGAACTAGGGACAGTTTTATGAATGGTATAAAGTTCCGCACAGCTGCTTTAAGGAAACATTTGGAGTGATAAAAGTCAAAGTACTGTGGAGAAATTAGGAGATACTGAGTCAGCATTTAGGCTTTTATGCCAAAATTATGGAACAATCAACACTTTGACTCTGAATGTGCTAAAATGGACTGTGACTCATTTCAGTTAGAAATTGATAGTCTAGATGTAATATCCTAATTTTGTCTTTAAGGCGACTGTTAATAATAATTCAGTAGTTCAATATTTTCTCCACATTACTTGTGTATCAGTAACAGCTGTACAAAATAATTAATGTATGAGACACAGTTTACGTCATGTTGGAACTCCGTTTGTGTTTAATGAATGTTTAAGTTGTTTTTTAGTGATATGTCTTTAATGTCTTTAACACTGATAAAAGATAAGAAAATGTTCACAGTTCATCAGGAAACACCAAAAAACAATAAATACATGGACAGTGAGGAGCGATCACATAAAACATATCTTGAAGAACTCATAATAATTAGGGCTGTCAAACAACTTTCATTGCATTTAACTACTGAATTTCAGTAGTTAATCACATGTTTAATATTTCATTATTTGCATTTCAAAACAGTTTCAAAGTCCATATTAACAAGGTGAAGCATTTTTTACCAGAGCGTCTTGATGGGAATCAAATGAATGTAGAGAAATTTGCTTAATCATCTTGAGTTTTAGATTAATTTCTTTCAAATCAGTGCTGCACTGTTTCAACAGTGTGGTCTGAAACCATGAACCTCTTCAGTGCGCTTCTTCTGTGAGATACACTGTTTGTTTGTTTGTTGTTTGAGAAAGTGCAGCTACTATGATATAATCACTGACGTCCAATGATCCCTGGTTAATGTGACAGCATTTGTTGCTATCTCTAATTCATACGTGTCATGTATGAGTGTATTGTTCCTTGGAACGGTAAGACAAAACATGTCAAATAGGTCAAAACATGTCGACCTAAGGACGTCCCCTTAATACATAATACACTTGTGCGGTGGTATGTCTGTGTCGCTCTGCATTCGCACCTCCAAAACACTAATGCTGGTCAGCAGTGGAGTTTCTGTGAAGTGCTGTAAAGTTTGACGAATTCAAAGCACACCAAAAACACACGTTAAACAGTAAACTTGATGGATACAATATCAAACACAAGAAGACAAATCAGCTTCAGTATAACTCACAAGACTCACAAACAACTGTCTTATACTAGACCCGTTTTCCGTTTAGAACATGCTAACGTTATTAGCACAAGCCTATGGCATTTCACATTGTATAAATTAGCCTAGTGGCTAGCAGAGTTGTCTTCTACTCATATGAAGCCATGAACAACAGTAATATTTTAGGTATGAGGTAACGATACAAAATTTAGCTCAACTACAACTCACAAGGTTCATAGACAAATAATTCTCCAAATACAACATGCTAACATTATTAGCACAAGCCTATGGCATTTACATTGTACAAATTAGCCTAGTGGCTAGCTGAGTTTTCCTCTACTCACAGGAATCCAGGATAAATCACACACAGGACTTAAAATGCAGGTCTCCATCCATTTAGCAGCCCTGTAGTGAACTTAGTTGATTTAGTTTCATCCACAGGTCTGTTGTGATTAGCTCACATGGTGATGCAGCTCTCCGCTGACATCAGTCTGATTAGCTGCACCTGTGTGCTCAGCTCGTAGGTGGGAGCTCAAACTCAGAGTACTTCATTGATATATTAATACCGGTTGACACAGGGTGAATGTTACTTTTGACTTGACTGAGCTGTCTGAGAGTTTTTTAAAGTGAAAGGAGATGTTCAAAAGCTCTGTGGTGTCACTCAGTGCCGCTCACTGCAGCAGGAAGCAAGAAGCTGCTGCTGCGGCTTGACTGCAAGTTGGGGTGCGTCAAAGGGTCAAAATAGCAGCATGCAGTTAACGCAACAAAAAAAAACAGCGTTATGTTTGAACCTCAGTCGCAGTGTGATTAACATGTTAGCACTGACAGCCCTAATGATAATGTAAAACAGTATTTCTACTATTAGCAAATACAAATCTGTGTAAGATGACAGAACGTAGAGAAAGAAGTTAAATTTTTACCAAAAGTTATATTCTGACGATTTACTAATGTATGATAACATTATCATTATCATAATACTTTTATCTTCTCATAGCTTTAACTTTTCCACCACAGCAGCCCTAATATTGTCCTATAACAACTCAAAAATCATATCTTTATTTTATGTCATATTTATTTATATTTAGCTAATTTATTTTATATATTTATTATTTATTATGTATCTAAATGGATCAGTAGGTGAATTACAATAAATACAAAAATAAATACAAATAAATCAGTAGTTAAAGTTAGCAAAATCATTTCAACTTTAGAGCTACTTAATTATTTTTATGTTTTATGAGGTCATGATTTTAAAGCTTTATAATTATGTAAAGTGTTTTTTATTGTTCTTAACATTTAATGATTTTTGTATTTTCCAGGACTGAATGTTTTATCACACTGATGTTGGGTTTTTTTAATAACTAGTAGTTGTTACAGAGCAGTTTCTACAGATTGATTTTCTGGATTTTGTTTCACTTTGTTGAGACAGTATTTGTCGGCTCAGAGTATTTCTATCTGTGTAATATTTCTACAGTGTAAATCAGTGTTGATCTGCTGCTGTGTCATTGTGAGCTGTTGTAACTGGATTCATCTGAAAGCATTTCTGAGAAGCACAGAGTCTTTACGATCAGGTCTTTGTTGAACCACAGTGTTTGTCTGCCTGTGGACTTTGTGTAATATTGAACTGTGGTGACGTTGTTGTGTTTCATGCAGAATTCTGACATGATGGTTGTGAACAGTCGTGAGATGACATGAACCTGCTCACTTCACCAGTCTGTGTAAAGAAACTGAAGAGAACTAAAAACATTGACATAATGTTTGTTGGAGTTTTATTCTGACCCAACCACCACAAATATACTGTTATTATTATTATTATTATTATTATTACACATTTTAAAGCTGCAACATCATCTGATAGCTGTGTAACTGTATGTTAAAGAGATCTTTCATGGGGCACTAATTTGTAAAATATAAGAACTGTTTTATTGCAGTACGTTGTTTGTTAAAGGACAACTTCGGTATTTTTCAACCTGGGCCCTATTTCCCCATGTGTATGTGTGCGTATGATTCATGGGTACAACTTGTTCTAAAATTGGTTCAGTATTGAGGGAGGCGGATGCAACCGGAGCCACGAAACGAGCTAAAACAGTAATGGGGGCAAATACGTCCCATATAAGTTTGCGCATTAAAAGTGCTTTTTTTCGCCACTGACCGGTTCAGATCGCCAGTGCTATGAGTGGAGTCAGCTGTCAGTCAGTGTTGGAGCAGAGAGGGGGAGGGCTGCCCCGCTTGGTACTGTAAGTGAGTATGTGTGTATGAAGTGTGTGTGTTACGCTAGAAGAGTCAGAGTCAGAGGACGGAGTCTTTTACGTGCTACCCCCTGGAGTGTTACTGGAGTTTTTGGAGTGCTCAAATAAACAGGCCTTTTTCCCGAACGCAAGAACACGATGTCGCGCAACACCCCGTACAGCTTTCATAGGCTGCCTTTGTCGGACGGCGAGATGCTGAAGTTGTGGCTAGTTGTGCTACAAATGGATGCTAACACTCCTGTCCAGACACCGCGCCTTGCAGACCATCGGGTCTGCAGTGCTCACTTCTCCCAAGATGACTACTGCCAGCCGAAGAAGAGAAGACATCCAATCCCGAAACACCTCTTCCTCAAGAAAACAGCTGCCCGCGAGTAGAGAGAGCTACAGACACAGTGGAGCAAAGCTCGTGACATCACACAGCCCAGAGGTAAGGGAAAGGCTAAGTTAGTATGTTATTTGCAGAGATAGCACTGACGATCTGAACTGGTCAGTGGCGAAAAAAAAAACCTTTTAATGCGCAAACTTATACGGGACGTATTTGCCCCCGTTACCGTTTTAGCTCGTTTCGTGGCTCCGGTTGCATCCACCTCCCTCAATACTGAACCAATTTTAGAACGAGTTGTACCCATGAATCATACGCACACATACACATGGGGAAATAGGGCCCAGGTTGAAAAATACTGAAGTTGTCCTTTAAGACGCCACAAAAGTGCATATTTAATGAATTTAGTTTGGACAGAAAGACACTTGGTTGCTGTTAGGACAGGGGCCAGCAACCTTTATTATCAAAAGAGCCATTTTTGACCAAAAATTATGAAACAAAAATCTGTGTGGAGCCATAAAACACATTTGAACCTTATGATAAACGTAACATAGCCTATTGAGTCTAACTGTCTCAAAGTTCAAAACCAGCATCTGTGATGGTATGGAGGTGTGTTAGTGCCCATGGCATCATGGGTAACTTCACATCTGTGAAGGCACCATGAATGCTGAAAGGCACATACAGGTTTTGGAGCACCATGCGCTGCCATCCAGATGATGTCCTTTTCAGGGACGTACCTGCTTTTTCCAGCGAGGCAATGAGACACATTCTGCACGTGTTCCAACAGCGTGGCTTCGTAGAAAAAGAGTGCAGGTACTAGACTGACCCCCCACTGAACATTTGTGCAACATTATGAAGCTCAAAATAAGACAACACAGACCCCGGACTGTTGAGTCACTGTAGTCGGATATCAAGCAAGAACAGGAAAGAATTTGACTTTCAGTACTTCAACAGTTTGAGTCCTCAGTTCTCAAACACATACTGAGTGCTGTTAAAAGAAAAGGTGATGTCACACCGTGGTAAACAAGCTCCTGTCCCAACTTTATTATAACCTGTTGCAGAATGACTGTATATTTACCAAAACTCGTGTAGCTTGTGCAGTGATGGGGGCCCTGTGCTGGACCGTCATGGTGAAGAGGGAGCTGAGCCTGAAGGCAAAGCTTTCGATTTACTAGTCCATCTACGTCCCAACCCTCACCTATGGTCATGAGCTCTGGGTAGTGACCGAATGAATGAATTCGTGGATACAAGGGGCTGAAATTTGTTTCCTCTGTGGAGTGTCTGGGCTCAGCCTTAGAGATAGTGTGAGGAGCTCGGACATCCAGAGGGAGCTCGGAGTAGAGCTGCTGCTCCTTCGCTTTAAAAGTGGTCAGTTGAGGTGGTTCAACATCTGATCAGGATCCTCCTGGGCGCCTCCTGTTAGAGGTGTTCTAGGCATGTGCCACTGGTAGGAGGCCCCAGGGCAGACCCAGAACACACTGGAGGGATTACATATCTCATCTGGCCTGGGAACACCTTGGGGTCTGGGGTTCTTTGCTCAGCCTGCTGGCCCTGTGACCCGGCCCCGGATAAGCAGATTAAAATGGATGGATGGAACAAAGTTTATCAGTTTGAACATTATCTTGTCTTTGTACTGTATTTAATTAATTATAGGTCAAGAAGGATTTACAAATCATTACATTGCTTTTATTTAAGTTTTATACAGCATCCAGACAGGAGGTTGTAAATATACAGCTGTACATTTTTCTTTGCGTCACTGTATATTTTTAAATCTCTCAAACAAAAAGAAGAAAGACTTTCATCAACCTTTACACCAAACACAGCAGGCATGACTCCACTCCACTCTCGGAGAAGTAAAACAGTCACTGAAATTCAAACTTAATAATTTATTATTAGTTTGTATTAATTAAAAAAATATGTTCTTCCAGCCTCGTGCAGATCAGAAACTGTGTTTAAGTTTTACAGCTCAGTCAAAACTTCTGTTTTTTTCATAAAACAATAACATCTCTAAAGGAATTTAGTCATTTGTAGGTTTGATGTATAAATGTGAGTCCGTCTGATGATCGTGTCCGCCTCAGGACACTTCACTTCCTGTCCAGGTTAAAGATTTCTTGGCTCTCAATGAGGATGAACTCCACAATCTGGTTCTGATACACCATGTTGACCGCCATGTTTCCTGAGTCCAGCTCGGGCCACATCAGCGTTGGGCCGAACACGATGCCGATGCCCTGAGTGGACATCAGGTTCTTCCTGGAAAAAGCCAGAACTCTGGAAAACAACAGAGGGAACCAAAACTAAAGGGAAACATGCGAACATTAACCTTAAAACTCAGGAAATGCAGGGAATCAAACCAGCAACCCTCCCGTTAACAGCTGACAACTCATATTAAGATTTACTTTAAAAAGTTTTCCCAGTAACCACTATACGTTCTTTTAACTTCGATTACTGACTGTAGTTGTGACACATGATCTTCCAAACTCCCACAGGTCTATAAGCTTTAATTCATTCTCAGCTGGATGACTTTATATTTCTTCTGACTGAATCTTCAGGTGTGTGCGAGCATACTTGTGCAGGTGGCTGAAGAGCAGTTTCATGGTGTCGTGGTTGGGTTTTGGCAGCTCCTGGATCAGTTTCTTCACAGCCTGAACTTTGTGTTTGGATTCTTTAATCTCTGTTCAGAGAAAAAAAACAGCAGCAGTCGTTTAATATGTGCAGCTGATCAAGCTAACATGTTTCATATGTATATAGTGTTGTAGTTTAACTCATAAGGTATTTTAGTTTAATGTGCATTTAGTATTGCAATTTCATGTGTGTATTGTAGTGTAATGCGGGTATAGTATTGTCATTTAACATGCATACAGTGGCATGCAAAAGTTTGGGCAACCTGGTCAAATTTCGTTTACTGTGAGTAGTTAACGAGAAGATGAACTGATCTAAAGGCAAAAAAGTTTAAGATGACACATTTCTTCAGTATTTATAAGTAAGAACGCTTTTTAAGAAACTGAGTTATTCTTTTGCACTGAGTTTCAGCGTGGACAGATTTTGCTGACGACAATCCTTAGAGACCCCTTATGTGCTTTACTATGTATGAAGGTTTTGCACCTCACTTTGCCAGAGGTTTGGACCCTGAAGATAAACCGGAGAGACAACCGAGACCAGCAGGGCCGATGAGGAGTGAGTATTTTTGTCATCAAATGCTTTGTTTTAGTCAGCAAGTTAAAGGCTAGAGGCTGGGGTGGTGATACACAGCAACATAGAACGAGCCGTTTTCTTTACCCCCTCCACGACCACACTAGAGTTATGTGTCTGGGTGACTGGACTACTAATATTAAAACATAGGCCCATAACCTGTCTGCACTCAATGATTCTGAGTTCCCTTTTGCTCAGGGGACTGATGCAGTGCAGACATTTAAACTATCTTCTCGTCTTTGTGAAGTTTTTGATATTTGTGACACATTCTTCAACTCTTGTTTTGACAAATGCAATAAAATTAAGTATTACTACAATTAATAAAATGTAACTTCTGTATTTTGTCTTGGATTTCCGAAAGATCTGTAACAGACCGATAGAGCTAAAAATAATTTCTAAGAGGTTTGGATTTCTAACATAAAGTTTCTGGAAATTTTTGTAAAGTTTGACTCACTGATGGCCTCCACAAATGGCTGGAAGGACTTGAAGGGGAACAGTGGCTCAGGCAGCTCTCGGAAAAACATCTTAAGAGCTCCAGTGACGACGTGGATGTCCTCCCACTGACTGTGGTCCAGGTCCAGGTCCTCCTCTGGGGGGGACAGACGGGATCAGACAGTTCAAGCTCCAGTTGTTTTGTTATGATGAGCACAACAGTTACAGGAAAGACGTCACTGAGAGTGAAGATCTTAGATCTCAGGCTCCAGCAATGCTCATGAAATATGCGTATAAAGAACCTTTTACAGCTTGTTGGATGATCAGCATTCATCATTAAGTTGATAAAAAATAATCCATGTGCCATCGTGTTTCTGTTGTGAGTTAGTAGAACTTTAAAAAGTGTCTGGAAGAGACAGATACAGTCAAACGGAGTAAAGAAAGGTTTCTGTTGAACTGACCCTGATCAACGATGAAGCGAAGTTTCTGGATTGTGGCCAGATTTCCACTGACTCTGTAGATCCCGTCAACATCCAGACCTGAAACCACGAACACACAGTTGATGAAAAACTTTATGAAATCAGTACTTTGCCAAGCGTCTGTCTTGGGCCTCATTCTGCTTCTCCGAATCAGAGTCCTGCCGACCCGCATCTAAACACTGAGATCTCATACAACCCAACTTAATAAACCTGATCTACATCTTTGAGATGATGTGTGCAGGTATGTGCTCTGAACTGATTGTACACATACAGTATGTGGATATTCTTGGAACCCATCAGCTGTATTCGGCATCTGACAGCAGACGGCCGGGGTTTGCCTACAGACTCTACATTAACTGAATGTAGAGTCTGTATATAGAGACTAGTATGTGGATAACTTCTTCCACTAGATAGCTGGGGTCAACATTTTTTATTTTTGTCATTTTGTCATACTTTGTCTTCATGCAGTGAAAAGTAAAATGAATGGTCAACGCTGGTCAGACAGTAAAGAATGACAACGTGGGAAGGGACTGAGGATTAAAAATCATAAAGGGTGACAGAAACAAACCACACCTATTAACTACTTTGTTCTGTTTTGTCCGTAAGAAAGGTTTAACCGTGCATCAGCGGCTGTATGTGATCCTACCTCGCTTGTCAACGGCATCCAAACAGGTCTGAACGAACTTCGGCACCGTGGTTCCTTCACGCTGGCAGAGAGTCAACAGATGGCAGCCAAAGACTCGATCTGAGACGGACATTGTCATTAATTGACTCATGTTTCCAGGATTGCAACAAAAATGTATGCCAGGGCTTTAATATGTGAATAAAAATCTGAAACCTTTAATGAGGCCTTTCTCCTGCAGAGTCTTCATGGACGGACGTCTGATGATGAACTTCTTCAGTCTGTTCTTCACCCCGTTCTTATCAGCGCTGTCAGAGGTGCTGTGTTTCAGCTTGGAGCTGCCGAACATATCTGCAGAAAAACAAAAAACATGGAGTACAGTGTACCTGGGCAGGTAAAGGACAGCTTACCTAAGCAGGTGGAGTACAGTGTACCCGAGCAGGTCGAGTTAAGTGTACCTCAACAGGTAGAGCACAGCGTACCTGAGCAGGTAGAGTACATTTTACCTGAACAGGTAGAGTACAGCGTATCTGAGCAGGTATTGTAAAGCGTACCTGAGCAGGTAGACTACATTTTACCTGAGCAGGTAGAGTACGGTCTGCCTAAGCAGGTAGAATACAGTGTACCTGAGAGCAGGTAAAGGACAGCTTACCTGAGCAGATAGAATAGAGTGTACCTGAGCAGGTCGAGGTAAGTGTACCTCAACAGGTAGAGCACAGTGTACCTGAGCAGGTAGACTACATTTTACCACAGCAGGTAGAGTACAGCATACCTGAGCATGTAGAGTACAGTGTACCTGAGCAGATAAAGGACAGTGTACCTGAGCAGGTAGAGTACAGTGTACCTGAGAGCAGGTAAAGGACAGCTTACCTGAGCAGGTAGAATAGAGCGTACCTGAGCAGGTTGAGGTAAGTGTATCTCAACAGGTAGAGCACAGTGTACCTGAGCAGGTAGACTACATTTTACCTGAGCAGGTAGAGTATGGGCTGCTTAAGCAGGTAGAGTACAGCGTACCTGAGCAGGTATTGTAAAGGGTACCTGAGCAGGTAGAGTACAGCGTACCTGAGCAGGTATTGTAAAGGGTACCTGAGCAGGTAGAGGACAGCGTACCACAGCAGGTAGAGTACAGCATACCTGAGCAGGTAGAGGGCAGTGTGCCTGAGCAGGCAGAGTACAGCTGTCCCCACAGATATATACAATATATAGTAATAAAGGTTCTGGATCAGTTACTCACTGATGGAGCGTCTGTGGACTGGGTTGCGTTGCTTGGTATTGGGGGAGGCGGAGCCATATCCAGGTAGGGAGCTGTGTCTGGGCAGGTACTCTGTGCTGTTTGATCTCCGCAGAGGAAAACCTCCATCTGCTTTAGTCTGAAAAGAAAAAGAGTGACAACTAGTAACAGGAAGGCCTTTATTTTGCTAATTATCTGAGGACGATAGGGAAAGGGTTGCTTTAAGTGAAATTAATATCTTTGGAGTGTTGGTCAGATGTAACAAGACATTTTAAGTTTGTAAGTTTGTAAAGGATTAATCCAAAAAACGATCAAGACACTGGATGATATTTAAAGTTATAGCCAGTTTAAGAGGGAGTGAGTTCTTACAGAAGAGTTGATGTTCTTTCTGATGGCATCGTACCATTTACTGGCAGTGGAGTAAGTGTCAACCTGAAGGAGGTACTCACTTCCTGTGTTTGTTGTAATCTGGAACAGATAAAAACAATGAGTTCAGTCAGGTACCATTTTTTTCCTCAAGGGCAAAAAGGTGTTTGTAGCATTGTAGCATTTAGTGTTGAAGTCTTTAATGTTCATCTTCACCATCATTTGATTCCTCCCAATGTTTCCTTGACTGACTATTTTCTGGTCACTTACTTCTCAGAATTGGATTTTCTACTCATCCTGTGATCATGTGACAGGTTTGTATTTATTACCTGGAAGACGTTTTTCTTGCTTGACTTCTCTGTCGTCCACTCGATAACAGCTCCACCCAGCGGAACCACATCTGTCTTACTTCCTTGTTTCTGAACACAGAGAGGATGGACATGGGGTCAAAGGTCAAATACATAATAACTGCTGTCAAGTGCATCCTATAGAATTGGTTTAGCCCACCCATCTCTCCACAGGTGTTCAGTGGGATTTATCTGGATTCACTGCTGGACAATTTAGAAGAGTTTGGTGTTTTAAATCATTCCTGGGTGCATTTGATGTTTGTTTTATGCCTCTGTCCTGCAGAAGGATCCACGAACTTCGACTGACACACAGCTGTATGACACTGGGTGGAACACTGCGCTCCAAAGTACCATGGTAATCTCCTGATTTCATGATTCTAGGCAAAGATTCAAGAGGCAGCAAGCAACCTCCAAACATCGGTGAGCCTCTTCCATGTTTGATGTTTGATACTCTGTTATTTCCTTTGAAGGGATTTGTCAAGGGTGTAATCTGAACCCAATAGCAGCACCACAAACAGAAGAACTGTTTGTAATAGTCTGTAATGACACCACTTGCAACACACAGAACAAACAGGCAAGTGAAGAAACGAGTAAGATTAGCTCCTAGGCATGAGGCCTTCCAGGGCACAGGTTTAGTCCAAAGACTTTGACGAGCCATGCCGAAACAGAAAGCAGGAGTGTCTCTGGTGTCCGCTGGACGCACACAAACAGCAAACAGTGCGAGAGAGGATCCAATATCAGGTGTACACGAGGAAAACCAACACACCTGGGAGGAGCCGACTGTAGGTGAGTCGGAACCGGTGAGGAGTTGAGAAACCAGCAGTGATGATGAGCGGATGCTGTGGCGCACACAGAAAGGTAGAATGGGCAGCCACGGGACAAGATAATCTACAGTGCAGGTGTTCACAGGCAGTACAACAGGTAAACGCACAATGTAGAGCTGACTGGCAGTCCCGTAAATCAGCTATGGGAAACAGGTGAACAGAAACCAGGAACGTTGAAGCAGAGTTCTTGGTCGGGTACAGAAGACTGAGTGGTTTACCGGGGAGCAGGCGAAACGGGAGCGTCAGAGGCAGACAAGGCCGTTGACGAGAAAGCAGTCCGGGAACACATGCTGGAAAGTCTTGCATTGGAATGACAAAGAACAATCTGGCAAGGAGTCTGTAAAGCAGGAGTCATTATACTGACAGGAGGTAATGATGCACAGGTGATAGGCTGGCAGGTAGGTGTGGTGGAGAGGCAGGGTGAATGGACATTTACTGGGTTAACTAGGAGAGATGCATGTATGGCAGGTCTGAAGTGCCCACTGTGACAGGTTTGTTTTTATTCTGTTAATATAGAGTTTATGTGATTTACCGAAGAGCTCCAATTTGGTCTCATCTGTCCACAAGACACTTTCACTGACGGATTTGTGCTTGTTGAGGTGTGTTTTTGCGTTCTCCTCCTGGGTCTCCTACCACTCAGCCTCCAGTCATTTAGTTGGCGGCAGGTTAGGGTTAGCTAACCTTGTTTCTGAAGGTCAGTGTGACTCTGTTTTGCAGTTGCTCCTTTCTCCATCACTTGAACAATCCTTCACTGCAACTTTTGGCTAACTTTTTTCTTACGTCATCTTCTAGGAAGGTTGGCTACGCTTCCAAGGACCTTTAACTTCCTAATAACGTTGCACATGATGGACATCAAGGTCTCTGGAGATTGTCAATGTTTGGCTCCGATCTGGCTCCTCTCTGCCTTGCTCTCTTTTCACCATTCTCAGTTTGTATAAGCAGTGACACCAAACAGCTCAACGAGTGCTTTGCTCCATTTTATACCAGAGAGGCCTCAAAAAACAGATATGAATAAAGGGCACATAAAGACAAGATGAAGTAGATTAATTAGAGATAGAAGGTCTCTTCATACCACAGCAGTTTCTTGCTGTCTCTCTTTATACAACAGCAGCTGGTCTGAGGTCAGGACACTCCACATCAAATTCCAGTTCTTCCTTTGCTTCTTACCGCTATCTGAGATTTTAGCCACATTCAGATGTTCTCCTTTCAGCTCCACCTGGACACACACACACACACACACACACACACACACACACACACACATTAGAACATAAATGCAAAGAAATCATGAAATCAGATGATTAATTATTCAAATGTTCATTTCATATATTGAAACAGAAAAATGTTCCATTTCCTTGACTTTTGATGAAAACTGTTTTCACTCATCTGCACTCTAACTCATCCATTTAATGTATATTTCTGTATGTAATATAAATACAGAATGAAGTGTGGGTGAGGTAGAAGACAGTTTGTTCATGGAAGAGAAAGTTTACTGTGCAGCTGCTGTAAGACAGGAACATGAACTGTGTTCACTGCTGTGAACATAATCATACAACCTGCCTCCAAATGTACCTATATCACTTTTCATTTTCTTTATGTTTTATTTTCTATTGGAAACAGGTGGAGAAAATGCCTCTGAGCTGGTTTTGGAATCAAAAGCTTTTGTGGACTCACCAGCTGTTCAGCAGATCCTCCTGCTGCGCTTAAAACATTATGCTGAGACTGATTCCTTCGATGCCGAGAGATCTACAACAGAAAAACACAAGTTAAACACTGGACTGCAGCCACAGTAGATGGAGGTTCCTTGGGGCCTACTTACAGGCTTCTGAGGAAGGTCGGACTCCTGCAGCACCATGGACTTGGATTGACTGAGGCGCTCTCCTGAGCTCTGGGTGGTTTTAATGCGCATCTGCACGGCTCCCTGTGACACTGTGTTGCGTGGTGGGACTAACGGCGGCTGCTTCGCTGCACTCTGGAGGTTTGTGATTCTGTAAACCAAAAAAAACCAAAAGTCAGTGTGTCCTTTCATAGCTTTTCACACACGATTCATTTCTTACCTAGTAAGTTAAAAAGTCTTTATTCAAACTACGCGTTTTCGCAGGTATTTGCACCACACACAAAGTGGCGCCAGAGGAATAAGAAACACCTTTTTACTCTGCTGATAAAAATGATCATATCTCAAAAAACTAAATAATGCATATAGTTCAAGTAACGTATGGAGCCTTGAGTAATATTTTGTTTATGTCATTTAAAATGACGTAACAACGGTCAGTGGAAACCAAAATCATCAACCCACTGATGGCTTGATTCAAATCACACCGAAAATCAAAGTAGAAAATTAAAATCACAGCTGATCCAACTCAAGATGTGACTCAGTATTGTGTATGACCCCCATGTGCCTGTATGACCTCCCGACAACGTAGGGCATGTTCCTGATGAGTCGGCCGATGGTGTCCTGGGGGATCTCCTCCCAGACCTGGATCAGGGCATCAGTGAGCTCCTGGACAGTCTGTGGTGGTACTTGGCAGCATCAGATGCACCGATACATAACATCCCATAGGTGCTCAATTGGATTTAGGTCAGGGGAACGAGAGGGCCAGTCAGTGGCATCAATGCCTTCATCATCCAGGAACTGCCTACACACTCTGGACACATGAGGCCACAATTCACAAACCTTTGAATCTCCAAAAAGTAGTCAGGCAGCTCACTGTTCTTTTTCAATAGAGCTAATACTGCAGTGTTGTTTGAGAATTCAATGATGTGATTGTTGGAATGAAATCTGCTGCAATCATCAGTATATAAAGTGAACAGTGAACAGTTCTAGGTTCAGATAGCTGGACTACCTGTGCAACCTGACTGGGCTGCAGGTACCGCCTCATGCTACCAGCAGTGACAAGGACACTAGCAGAAGACCAAACTAGAGAAGAATCAGTCAGGAAGGATAAGGAGAGAGCAGCTGTCTGTGGACACCACATGTAAAACCATTCCCTTTTTGGGTGTTGTCTTGCTTTTGCCTCTCCATTGCACCTGTTGTCACTTTGATTTGCACCAAAGTGAAACTGATTCACAATCACTTGTGCTTCCTAAATGGACACATTGATATCCCTGACGTTTAACTGACTTCCTGTTAGACGCAGAAGTGTTCCCTTCATTTTTTGAGCAGTGTTTGCACATTCAGGTGGTCTGTGGTGTAAACACGTCACTCAACTGTTGCTTAGAAAACAGACTGATGTTTGTTCTTGTGTTCGTTCTAATTTAGTTGAGACTCTGAGGGTGAACGTTCAGTTAAAGTTCGATCCAGAGGAACCGGCAGACTTTTTTCCTGTTTGGGTTCCTGTTTGCAGCTCTGATTGCACCACTGTGGTTACACAACATTTGTTCTTCTGTCCGTCGGCAACAAGGAAAACCTCAGCTAAAAGGAGACTAAAGTATCAAGAGCATATAAATACGTGTGTGTGTTCAAGAGTGTGGGTTTCATTTCAACATTAGTGGAAACACATATATTAAATAATATTGTAATATTTATTCTCCTGTGGATCAACTTTTCTCATTTAATGTTAATCTGTAGAGTCAGCACACATGCAGATATAGTTTACTTCTCCATTCTTCTCTGTTTCTTTTGATTGGTGAAGTAACCGCTTTAAATCTGCACGTGACGCTGATACACATCAGTGATATGGTAATTCATTTATGAACCGCTGGACTTTTAATATCTCAGATGTGTTTCAGAGAGATTTCTGCTTATGTTCAAAACTCTCTACAAGACACATCTGTGTTCTCTGAGAGGTCCAGAATTAAGTCCTATTTGACAAAAAGAAGTTGTTGCATGAAATTAGTTCAGTTCGAAATGCCTTGGGACGATAACATAATGTTACCGACTCACCCTTTTTTCCCTTTAAGGGCGGCAGCCTTGTGTGTAACCTGTCAGGTATGGGGGGAGGCAGCTCTCCGGGGGTGACATGGTGAAGACAGCAGGCGGCAAATAGTGATAATAGTAAGCAGAATTAAGTGTCTAGATGAGCTCAGGGCTACTGTTAGACCTCATGAGAAGGCCATGTTTGTAAAGCCATTGTTGGTAAACAGCACCTGAACACCTCGCCATCCTTCCTTCTGCAGAGTGGTCCGGACTGCTAGAAGCTAGTTACAGCTAATAACGAGCCACGCTAGAATTAATAATAAGCCAACATGTTCCCAATTATGGTTCGGAGCCAGTAAGCTGTCACTAACTGGGTTTCCATCCAAATGTATCGCAAATTTTAAGTGAATTTTATGAAAATGCGCAAAAGAAAATGCGAATTTATGCACGTTTCCATTCATTATTGTTTTGCGAGTATTGGGAGTCAACAGGTCGAGCAGAAGGTGGCGCTTCTCATGAAAAATAAAAATGCAAAAGAACACCTGTAGAAGAAGAGGGCGCCGTGAGATGACATCAGAGCGTCTCATGTCCACAACTGATGTAAACAATTACCGGCACATCCATGACTACGACGAGATGCAGAGATACCTTGGGAACTTCTTGGCTATTGCGAGAGCTCTCATCACACTCATATCAGCGTTGTCAGCTCAGCCTACATAATGCTGTGATGTATGTGTTGGTACACCAGGCAGCGCACATGATGCAGCGGTATTCAACACATCCAGTCTATTCAGGTAAGCTGTGAAATAGCCTACACTCACCTGACACTGGAGTAATTACCTCTCTCTAAGTTCACACAGGTGTGTGTGTGAAGTAGAAGTAGGATTCAGTAGCCTACGTCATTGTTTATTCGCTAAATCTGTTTTCATTGCCACAAGTCGCATTTTCCTAATATCGATACGCTGACTTTTCCACCCCCTCCACGTGTAAAAACGCTTTTGCGACATTTCTGCTTTTTTTCGAATTTCTAGCATTTCCATTCAAGTTTTTTTTCGCAATTGTTGAAAATGCGAATAAAAATAGGTGGACGGAAACCCAACTACTGACAGAGGTGACAGTAATTTAAGGACGTGGAGGGAGTGAAGGTGGATAGATCCAACAACACAGGACTTTCACTCAGTAGCCCGCCATTCACTTCCTGTATGAGTGTAGAGCCAAACCATGATGTTTTTCCTAATCCGTCCACATGCTGTAGTTGCACAAGGAAATAAATGTAAATACAAGGTGTTTTACCAACGTTGTAAGTTTATTATGACATAGACTGTGTGTATGTAACAAGCGGAAACTATACATTTCCTGTGAAAATGGAAGTGTGTATAGAGAAGACCTGATGTATGTGACAGGTGTGAACTGACAGGACATCCTAGAACGCCAACAACAGACTCACAGGAGGATACCCATCTATGTAGCCAGCCTCAGAGCACTTACTTCATCAGTCAGAAGACTAAACTAAATTCTAATTAAAGAAAAACCAATGATTGTAATGATATAACACACAGAAACATATTTGGCCCTAAGCAGACAGACGGAGTGCAGCAGACGACTGCAGCACAGTAACTGAGAAGAACCTCATGAAGACACTGACAATGTCCACTGAGTGACCACAGAGTGGGACAAACAAAGACATTGGCTGCCCTGAGAGGACAGGCTGTGTTGTCAATATGATGAAGGAGCTGTAGATGGTGGCGTAGTGGTGGGGAAAAGTGAGACTGATAACACAGGGCCCCAAAGTAAGGGGGTTTCGAAAAGCCTGGTTGTTGAGTATGCTTGTTTTTGTCACCTTGCTGGCTGCAAACTAAAAATGTCTCAGAGCTTACTGTGTATTCGTCATCTCGGACAGCTTCTGGAGGACGGTAATATGCCTTGGCGAAAGGTTTAAAGTTGTCTCCATGGTAACTAGAGACTTCTGTGAGGTTTAGTTAAGTGTAGTCTGCACAGACAGCTGTTTAGATCACATGAATATCCTGCTGTATGCATGTTTTTATCTCATTAATTGTATCTATATTAATTAATGGTAAATGGACTTGCATAGTGTCTTTCTAGTCTGCAACAGCTCCAAGTGCTCTTTACACTACGAGTCACATTCACACACTGATGGCTGAGGTTAACGTGCAAGGTGTCATCTGCTACACAGCTTTAACACACTCACTCACTGATGGAACAGCCATCGGGAGCAATTTGGGGTTCAGTATTTTGCCCAAGAATACTGCGACATGCAGACTAGAGGAGCCGAGGATCAAACCCTTTATGGGTGGACAATCCACTCTACCTCCTGAGCCACAGCCGCCCCAGCTCCCAGTCTGTCTGTGAGTGTCAGATTCGTCTCACTCTCTATGGTGGGCAGGGTAATAAAATCACTAAGTACAAACACAGCTGTTTTTTTCTTGTTCAGCTGATATGAAACAAATTCAGTAAATGTCTGCTGTCAGTCAGCCTGGTGAAGGCAGTTTGACCGGCCGCTGTCCTCTCAGCTCTGACAGACGGCTGCTTCTGTGGACAGAGACGCTGAATGCAGGTTGGTCGGTGTGGATTTAAAATTAGCTCCATGGTGACGAGTAACATCACCAACAACATTGCATTTTAAATCCACTGGCTGCCTGTAAAGTTCACAATTGACTTTAAGATTCTCCTGTTCGTGTACGAATCCCTTAATGGCGTCCCATCCTTCTAACCCCCTATTCCACACCCAGGTCCCTCAGGTCAGCTGATGGGGTTCCTAGCTGTCCCACGCTCCAGACTTAAGCTCAGGGGAGATGTACCTTTGCCGTGTCTGCCCCCAAACAGTGGAACAACATCCCCGTCCCAGTTGGATCTGCCCCCACCATTGACTCATTTAAGTCCAGGCTCAAAACCTACTTTTATTCATCAGCGTTTGAGTCCCCCGATGTGGTTTTCCCTGACGTGTGCCTGTGTGTGCTGTCTCTCTAAATGTGTTAGCTGTGTACCTGACACTTATGTTGCCAGTTATGTGTCCGTTTTTTAGCATTTATTCTTTTTGTATAGCACTTTGAAACGTGAGTTGTTTTAAAAATGTGCTTAAAAATAAATTTGAGTTTAGTTGAGTTGGCTTCTATGCTTAGTGCACGTCACTGTTGCTGTGCTTTCAGTCTCCAGGGCTGCAGACCTTTTGGTTAATCAGCAGTATGGGACACACCTGTGCCAGGTGTGCTTGTGGCATATAAACCAAAGCAGCAGCCAGTGTGGGCAGATCTTTTCTCATCATCTAACCCCTGTGTCTTTGCTTCTTGTTTTACAGCACAGCGATCAGTCTTTCAACAGATATTTGAAGCACTGATGTCACAATGTCCCAGTTCTGTTGGTTTAGTTTTATATAGTAACTGACCGTGAGAAAGAAACTGCATTATTCACCAGTGCTGCTGCTGTCATATCTAAAACCTTCCTGAGCCAACGTGACGAGGTCTGCAGCTTCAGTCACAGGAAACAAACTGAAACCCTCCGTATGAAGGTCACATTATCACCTCCTCACACTGTATGAACAACAGAATGTGAGCTACCCCGAGGATGTACGTTCAACTTTCACTTCCATGCAGAAAACACACAGGTGGAAACTCTGAGCCATGACGAAAAGTTCAAGCTGTTTGTCTTTGATCCATCACACATCAGTGATTTCAGGCCTTCAGATGAATCAGTCCAACTAAACAAGTGTTTCAGCCAGTAATCATGGACGGCGACAAAAACCAATCACCAAGACGACAACACCAAACCATAAAGTCAGAAATCATGACCAACGTTATGAAACATTTAATGTGACCCTACCTTGTACCCGCCATCTGTGTGTGTCGCTGATCTGAAGACACAGAGAGTCGAGGCCTGACTGTTAGAGGAAGTATGATTCATCACGTGGTTTCTTCAAACCAGCCGTCTGTCACACAACACAAGTGCTGCAACCTCCCCATTTCCTGAAGAAGAAAAAAAACGAACCTTGCTCTCATGAGAGCGGACGAGGACAGTTTGTCACTTCTGTCAGTTGGTGTACAAACATCAGCAGACACATGACAACCAGCCGCTGAACGCTGGTTAATATTAGTTTCTGAACGTTTCGCAGTGACATTGAATCACCGGTAGTTCTGTGCAGCTCTGCAGAACATTTTTATACCTCTTTAAACTCTTAATTTTACTTTTATGGCATATTTAATTCAATTTATTTAATCACTTCTTTTTATTGCAGCATATACACATAAACAGAAGCAACTAATTTCTAAATAAATTCGACTTAACCCAGCTTCCTGCCACTCCCCACTCCACCCACACCCTTTCCCTTCCACCAACCAACATACACTGAACAAAAATATAAACGCAACACTTTTGTTTTTGCTCCCATTTTTCATGAGCTGAACTCAAAGATCTAAAACATTTTCTATACACACAAAAGACCATTTCCCTCAAAAATTGTTCACAAATCTGTCTAAATCTGTGTTAGTGAGCACTTCTCCTTTGCCGAGATAATCCATCCCACCTCACAGGTGTGGCATATCAAGATGTTGATTAGACAGCATGATTATTGCACAGGTGTGCCTTAGGCTGGCCACAATAAAAGGCCACTCTGAAATGTGCAGTTTTATCACACAGCACAATGCCACAGATGTCACAAGTTTTGAGGGAGCGTACAATTGGCAATTGTTGTGCCATTCATCCACGACCATCACCTCATGTTGCAGCGTGATAATGCACGGCCCCATGTTGCAAGGATCTGTACAAAATTCCTGGAAGCTGTAAACATCCCAGTTCTTGCATGGCCAGCATACTCACCGGACATGTCACCCATTGAGCTTGTTTGGGATGCTCTGGATCAGCGTATATGACAGCGTGTTCCAGTTCCTGCCAATATCCAGCAACTTCGCACAGCCATTGAAGAGGAGTGGACCAACATTCCACAGGCCACAATCAACAACCTGATCAACTCTATGCGAAGGAGATGTGTTGCACTGCGTGAGGCAAATGGTGGTCACACCAGATACTGACTGGTTTTCTGACCCCCCCAGACCCCCCCAGTAAAGCAAAACTGCACATTCCAGAGTGGCCTTTTATTATGGCCAGCCTAAGGCACACCTGTGTAATAATCATGCTGTCTAATCAGCATCTTGATATGCCACACCTGTGAGGTGGGATGGATTATCTCGGCAAAGGAGAAGTGCTCACTAACACAGATTTAGATAGATTTGTGAACAATATTTGAGGGAAATGGTCTTTTGTGTGTATGGAAAATGTTTTAGATCTTTGAGTTCAGCTCATGAAAACTGGGAGCAAAAACAAAAGTGTTGCGTTTATATTTTTGTTCAGTGTAATAATACCCACGCAGACAGAGCATCCTTATTTAAGATAAGATACATTTATTTGCCATTTGTACACCTGCACACAGTCTGGGTATGTAGGCATTCTTGTGCAAAAGATTCAAAGTACACATAACGAAGTATAAAAGGTATAAAAAGTATAATAAGTAGAAGAATGTAAGCTCCACCTGCAGGGCATGTAGACAGGTATTTCACATTTCATATGCTTTTACCATCAGTCTCACTGTGGCAGGGAAAAAGCTGTTATAGAATAGTGTTTAATGTGTGATTATGCTGTCTGCTCTGCTGTATCTTGGGCTGTATGCTGGATGTTTGTGCCTGAGGAGGGTGTGAGCTGGGTGATGTGTGTCTCTAATGATGCTCTGTGCTTTTTTCTTGCAGCGTTGTGTGTAGAAAGTGTCCACAGATGGAAGATCAGCTCTGATAATCCTCTCTACAGTCTTCCTCTCTGCCTGGGTGGTGTTACCATACCAGACAGTGATGCCAGTAGTGAGGATGCTCTCCACAAGTCCCCTGTTGGCTTGGGTAAGAGGGCGGATGCTCAAACCAGCCTTCCTGAGCAGCCTGATGAAATGAAACTGCTGCTGGGCCTTTATTGATATTACAGTCCAGCTTAGCTTTGCTGACTCATGAAGGCCTAGGAACCTGTGGCTGTTCACTCTCCACCTCAGTCCCCCTGATGTTGGGGAGCTTTCTTCTGGAAGTCAATTATTAATTAATTTGTCTTGTCTATGTTAAGGGTGAGGCCATTCTCCTCACTGTAGACAAGAATGTTGTTGACCTTACCCCTGTACCCTGACCTGTCCCCACCCTAGATGAGGCCCTGGATGGTTGTGTCATCTGCATGATGATGATGGTGTTGTCCTGGGTGGAGGTGCAGTCATTGGTGTACAGGGCTGACTGTAAGCTCAGTGGAGACCCTGCCTCCCATCCTCACCACCTGTGAGTCGATAAGGAAATCCAGAGTCAGGTGATGGTCGGGACCCCAGGNTGCTGACTGTAAGCTCAGTGGAGACCCTGCCTCCCATCCTCACCACCTGTGAGTCGATAAGGAAATCCAGAGTCAGGTGATGGTCGGGACCCCAGGGTCAGTCAGCTTTCCTGAAGGCAGAACTGTAGTCAAGGAACAGCACCCTGACAAATGTTCTGCTGCAGTCCAGGTGTGTAGAGTGTGGTGGAGGTCCATAACTACTGCGTCTCATCCACTGGTGTGCTGGGGCGGTTGGCAAACTGCAGAGGGTCAACAGTGTCAGGGACCACAGAGTTGATGTGTGTGCATACTAACTTTTCTAAGCACTTCATGGCTACTGGTGTGAGCACCACTGGCCTGTAATCGTGTTTGGACGTGCATCATTGCTGATGACAGAAATGTCCAAAAAGCTCCGGAGCGAATGAAAACTTGAGATACCATGAGGAGTCAGGCCTGCCAGCCAGATTTTGTGAGTTCTGTCCATAAGGTGAAGGTGGGAATCATCATGGGGGTTTGGGGGCGGGGGACGATGGTACAACAAAAAAGGGGGAGGCATGTTGAATATTTTTTTAAGCACTGTGGGGTTTGGCTTAGGAGAGGGACATACAAATTTGAACAGTTGTATTTTTCTTTTTACCACTTATGTTTAAAGAAAACATGCCTTCCACACTTGCACAACATGTTTTTTAATGAATTTATGGTCATTCTGGTCAGTGGTGTCAAACACTGTATGTTCTTGCCTCCCATATTTCACTGTAGCTATTAGAAGTGTTTGATTTGATCACCAGGCTGTCGCTTGGCTCCCAACAGAACAGCACTTTATTTAACATTTTGTCAAAAATTAAACTCATTCAGAATATGCAGAGATATAGAATACTGGTTATTTTTGTCATTGATTAAAACATTCATTTTTAACTACTTCTAAGTGGAGATATTTGAAGGATTGAGTTTGGCCTAGGCCTCAGCTGGGTGTGCTCTGCAAACAACAGCAATCAAACCTCTGGGTAACATCTTGGTAAGAAAGTCTGCTGCATTTCATTCTAAAAAGAGTGATAATTTGGATAGAGCAATAATATCATGGCTGGTGGTCGCAACGGCAACAGAAGCTCAGACAAAGCTCCTCCATATGATGATCCGTCTTCAAACAAAGCTACTGCAGGTGAGGATCCTGAGTATGTGACAATGGACACTCTAAAGCAGCTATTGGACCAACAGAAGAACTACTATGAGGATCTACTGAGGAGGCAGGAGACTGCATTTCTCAGTTTTTCCCAAATGATCATGGACTCAACCAATAAGAGGGTGGACTCATGTCTGAGAGAGCTACAAGAGCTTAAGGTGAGCCTGACCTACTCTCAGAGTGAAATTGATGAGTTAAAGAAACATCTTACAGCCCAACAAACTGAGACTAGGAATATTAACCAGCAAGTGAATGAACTGAAATCAGAACAAGCTGCAAAGAATGACTATGAGCAGATGGATTATCTAGAAAACCAATGCAGGAGGAACAATCTTGTGATTAATGGACTGGGCCCTGATAAAGAGGATGAAACCTGGGCTGAGACTGAGGCTAAAGTGCAAGCAATGTTCACTGCTAAGCTGAAGATTGAGACCTCGGTGGAAATCGAGAGAGCTCATAGAAATGGAAAGTTCAGGGGCGACAGGGAAAAACCAAGAGCAGTGGTGATCAAGCTCCTGCGCTTTAAGGATAAACAGCTTGTCCTGGCCAGAGCTAGAGCCCACCTGAAGAACACATCATTTAACATCAGTGAGGACTTTTCTGAACGGGTGAGGAAGAGGAGGGCCGAGCTGCTTCCTGCTATGAAGGAGGCAAGAGCAAGAGGTGGCTATGCCATCATCAGCTATGACCGCCTCATTGTGAGGCCAAGAAGAGAAGGACAAGTGGCGGGGTCATAATTGATGTCAGTATGACATGTATGCATCTTTCATCCTCCTCACACTGACTATGTCTTTAAACTTACAGGGTAAAGGGCTGTGCATTGCACATTTGAATATTTGCAGTCTTAGAAACAAAACTGATCATCTTTCTGTATTGCTTCAGGACAACAACATTCATATTATGGCAATTTCTGAAACACATCTAGATGCATCTGTTATGAACTCTGAGATTGATATTCCGGGTTATAGTTTATTCAGACTTGATAGAGATCACAGAGGAGGTGGCGTTGCCTTCTATATACAAAATCACATGCCTATCAAAACAAGATATGACCTCATATATACATCTTTAGAAACCATATGGCTACAAGTGCATTTACCTAATGTTAAACCATTGCTTGTCGGTTGTTGCTATAGGCCTCGAAGTTCTAATGTTCAATATGTTGATAATATTTGTGACATGCTTCAAAGAGTATTGGATGAAGATAAAGAGACATACTTTCTAGGTGACCTAAATATTGATTGGCAATCTAAGGCCTGCACTCTAAAAAATAGGCTACTTGTTATGGTGAATGTATGTAATCTGACTCAGATTGTCAATCTACCGACGAGTTTCCTGTAATATCGCATGGACTGTATCTTCTACATGTATAGACCATATATATACCAACGCCAGTGAACTCTGCTCC